TTATGTATGACAAAGTGGAAAAGTTTACTGATGATGCATTTCATCCTTCAGGCTAAATTTGTTATTTTGGTATGACTACACATGCACATAAACAAGGGATGCTGGGAATTTTAGAATTTTTTTTTTTTTTTTTTATATCTAGGTGATCTCATTTTGTTAGTAAATATCCCACATTGTGATAACAGAAGATCTACCACATTTCACCATTCCTGGCAGATCTATCATTACTGTGTGGGATATCTACTAACAAATGTGTTGGAAAGGAAGAGTGTAAATGAAATTGGCTAGATATATAAAAAAAAAAAAAAGATTCTAAAATTCCCAGCATCCCTTGTTCATCTGCATGTGCAGCATAACAAATTTAGTCTGATGAAGGACGAAATCCATCAAAAGTAATCTTTTTATCCACTATATATATATATATATATATATATATACATACACACACAGATCTATAATTGTTATTTTGAAAAAAGAGATTGTTATTCCCAACTACCCTGTGGCATTCACTTTCACACAATTCTCTTGGGAAAGGCATGAATCAATTCCACTTTACTCTTAGCTCCAGGTTAGATAGTAGGATATACAGGATTCTTTAGACTTGGGTGACTACTCTGAATTCAAGACTGTAGAGAAGGCAGTGGGGAAACCACTCCACTTTATTTCCCAGGAAGTCTGGGCTATTCACAGATAATAAACAGAATTTGTGGAGAGAGAGATATGGTTGCTGATGTCCTGAAGGGACATCTGGGTATTACAATTTTATGTTGTTTGTGTAAAAATGGGCAAAGTAAAGAAAACAAAAAACAAACAAAGCTATAATGAAAGAAACAAAAAAAAAACAAAAAACTTCATGATCTGCCCTAGAAATTAAAACCCAACTACAGGATTTAAATTCTCAAAATTTCTGATTAAGTTAAATTTATAAAGATTTTCCAACTAGTTATTTAATTTAATCATACTATTGGATTTAATTTGTATTTTCAACTATATAAAGAAAGTGAAAATTTTTAGTTAAGGCTAATAAAATTCAAGTGCAAACAAAAAGGAGGAATTTTTACATGCAGGTGTTGAGGAATGGCAGACATGCTTTTATTATAAAAGCATAAAAGGTGTTTATCTATGGTATATAAATTCAAATAAAATGACAATGTATAAAATGCCATTTATAAACTGAATTCTGTCTTATTAGCCAAGTAATATTGGCAACCATTGTATTTAGAATTTAAGGATTTTGATTTGTATTAAATAACCAAAAAGACAGATCAGATGATAAAAGGGCACAAAAGAAAAAAAAAAAAAATTGGTTTAAATTTCATTCCAGTTATTTAAAATTCCAAAGCCACAAGCAGCCAAAATTACATTTTTGTTTGATTTATTTTTTTTCTTTTAATATATATTTTTATGTGTGTGTGATTTCATTCTATTATTCTTCAGTGGCTTGGTTTTTTCCTACTAGCTGTGATGTAGAAGAATGTGCTTCTGTTTCCCTGCAAAGACAAAGATTGAAGAAAGAGAAAAAGAAGAGAAAAGAAAATTCAACATTCTGCATTGCATTGCAAAATGAAACAGATTTCTCAATCCATGCTGCTTTTCTTGGCACATGCACAAAAAACAGAAAATTTAGAATTTCATTGCACATCACAAGAGATTAAAGTTTCTAATGATAATTCATTAATTACACAAATATTTTTGCCTATACACATTTAAATGTCCTTAAGGAGGTTCATTTGTAATTTGGGAGTAAGCTCACACCCCAAGAGATTAAATAACTAATATTCATTACATCACATTAATTTAGGAGGTAATTTTGATAGCCAACTGTACCACTAAAATTACTACTGCTAAGAAATGCAGGAATTTGGGAAGTAATTTTCTGGGAAGGGATTTGTTTTTTTTCTTATAGCATATTGACGTCAATGGTTTATTTAATGCTGAGAAGATTTTTATTGCTTCCCCCCCTGCTCAAAAAAAAATTTATTGCTGGTAATAATTTTTTTTACAAAGTATTTTTACACTTTCATAGTGTTTTGACCCCCAGTTTGCTGATAGCTGGGATCCTAACAGGTGCTACCACCTCGGGTCAAGGTGGACCAGGGAAGACCAGCAATTAAGAGGTGGTTCCACTCACCTCAAAACCTCCTGATCAGAGGCTTTGCTGTTGGATGTAGTTTATCATCGTACCTGGGATGTAGATGTAGTTTATCATCATACCCAGGACAGTAGGGATTTGAGATGTTTATAAAATTATTTCCTCATGCAAAATAGTTAACAGTAGAATGAATTTCCAAAGTACTAAAATATAATTTCCTCCTTATAGTCAGGCTAAATCAGCAATCCTAAGAAATTACTGAGGTGCTAAGTAAATTTTTTTCTTTTTTTAGAATCTTGCTATAGTTATTAAAGATAAAAAGCAAGACTCACACTATTTACTACTCCTTAAAAGAAAAAAAAAAAGTCATCTAGGTCTTATATGAAGTTATATGTGGCAGACTGTTTATCCAGATGCCATAGACAACTAGTACTTGTACTTTTTGTTACAGCAGTTCTAGACATTTCTAGTTTGAACATAATATGCTACATCCATGGAGGTGAACTCACCTTCTCCCCCTCCCACCAAGAACTACCACTTTGTGGAACAGACACACCTGTGTACTTCACTGAACAAATTTAACCTTTTTATGTCAAGGTTCAATTGTTATTCTGTTAATGTTCACTCGCTATCACCTCCTCATTCATTCATATTGCACATGCATTTATCAAGCCTTTCAGTGGTTCTTGAAACTTCCAGTGGAGGAATTTTAGTATGTAAAAAAAAAAAAAAACACACATGCACACTTAACCTAATTCCATAATACTGTAATAGCAAATTTATGCTGGTGGGTGTCATATGTCAATCTTGTGGGATAGAGTATTATTAACAACTATTTTATTATTATTGCTACTTTTAGTTTTGCTCATTCTGAAATATACTCATCAGTAGATCAAAATATGTTTTATTTATTTCCATAATATATTTTCCTTAAATACACTGAGTTATGACCTGATCTCCTGCTGCATTTATTTCACAATCTGTGAAAGTCAGTGGACATAAGTAAAAAAAATTTATTACTACTAGCACTACTTGTGAAAGTTTCATATTTTTTTTTCTATTTGAATCCTAATTCTTAAATAATCCCCATATTGCATTGTTAACTATTCAACAACAATCATAAGTATGAATGTAGGTCATTATTTAAAGAAGTAAGAGGGTACAAATAAAAAGATTCAAAATTGATAAGTCTCTCCATTTCACTGAAGCGGACATTAAATGCATGACTGTTATCACCTCTATCTTACAGGTCTTTTTTCCTTAAAACCAAACAGCATCTCTGAAATCTTACTTGTCTTTCCTTCCAATCAAAATGGAATGGTCTATTAGTTATCCGAGGCAATAGCAGGTTGTAACATGAGCTAACTTAATGGAAAAACAAGCAGAATATATTACTATTATGTATGGTGTTTTTCGTCTCTACAATTATGCATCCTGTTACTTTGATGGCTTGTTAGTTTTTTTCAGTTTGGTTACATCAGTTTCATAAAAAATCTTATTCACTCTAATGATTATATATATAGCTAAAAGCATAAAATACTAAAAGCATATAGAAGTAAATGTGCCAAAATGTCTCAGACTTTTCACATGTGAACAAATATACTGAATAAAATAAGAAAAGTTAAAATAAGAAAGTTGATCATTTAATATTTATATTCTGTAAGAAAACGTGCAACATATTATCAGAAGTACACCTAAATGATAGAAATGGTACACAGTTCCAAATTCTTGAAGAGTACAAAAAAAAAAAGTATACATCTTTCCCTGCTTCTCTCACAGAAGAATTTGTGATAGCCCACTTTTAGAGAGTGCTGATCTTAATGCAAGAAAGTAAGTCATTCACAAAGATATAAAAACACAAAAATTATCATCATTAGCACTTAAAAGTGGATTTTTACGATTTCAAGAAAATTTTGCAATATTTTACACTCAATCTGTATGCTGTGCAGTGAAAATCTGAGAGAAAGAGATTTTCATAGGTAAAAAATTAATGCAAATGTTACAAATTTACATATGCAAATTTTGTAAAAATAATTTTAGTAATAAGTTTTTGTATTTTTAGATTACAGGATAAAGCATTAACATTTTAATAATCTGCAAAAGAACTTAGTATAAGTAATTAAATAAAAACAGAATAAGTAAAATAAAACATCACTGGAGATGAACAGTGAAGGTAGTTCTTTTACTGAGTATTGTATTAACTTTGAAAATGTTTTTTGGGGGGTTTTTTTTAAACATTTTTTGCATATTAAGAATTTTTTTATATTACCAATTTAAAATATTTGAAATAAATTAAACTATGTCTATCCCTTAACCATTGTAACATTTACAGATATTTTATGCATTTAATGCAACAGTTATTGAGACTATTGTTGTCAACATCATCATAAACATTTCAGATTTTTTAAAAGTGATTTTAGAACTCCTACTAGTTAAAATGTGAAAAGAAAATGCTATGCAAGTATTAAAAAAAAACATTCTTTAAAGAGGAAATGAGTAAATAGTAAAGAACTTTAAAATGCAAAAAGACAAAATTATATAGTTATTAGCTTGGAATTGGAAGAAGATGAGAAACTAATTATTATTATTAGTAGTAGTAGTAGTAGTCAGACCAAAAACCTCAAAGATTAAATTTACAGAAATATTTACCAAATACAAAAGACGTGATTGGATACCCAAGAATGTTATAATTAAAAAAAGAAGAATAAATAGACATTACAAGTGAAAGAGTTAGTAAAATCTAAAAGGGTCATTTAGAAAACAAAGGCATTAACCTTGAACAGACATGCTGTGAAGAGGAAGAGAAGAAGGTGGGTCAGTAAAGTTGGCAGGGTGGACAAACTACTGGTGGTAGGAGCACACACACAGGTTAAAACCTCACAACCCAAATGGACATGAGGGAACTTACAATAGTTACTTCAGCCGGTGCTTTGTCCACCTTCCTCAAAAGGGGTAGGGATGAAGAACTTTCAGATGAGTGGGTGGTAGGTTTGGCCAACTTCTGTGAGCCCGATTGAAAAGAGGGTGGCATCATCTTCTTTTCTCCAGCAGAATTTAAGGTAGCAACAACCGAATCCAATTCAGCTGTGACAGGGCTCTCCAAGTCACTAACACTTTTGTGAGCAGGTGGGGAACTTGGCACTGCAGGATCTGGAGACTTTACAGAGTTAAACACAGGCAACTTGGATTTGGGTAAGTATTCCTCATTTGACAAATTAATGAAAGGGTTTTTGGATTTGGGTTGAGGATTCTTTTGGATTTCTTCAACAAAAGGATTACCATTCTTATTTTTGGAATTAAAGAATGGATTTTTAGAGTTAGATGATGGAGAAGGAATTTGAGATGGGGAGAAATTAGAGGAGGCTGAAGTTTGCTTTGGTGGTGTGATCTGAGAAGTGCTTTTAGGAGAAGGAATTTGAGAAGGTGATTTAGGGCTGGGAATCTGGGAGAATTTTGGGGAGGGAATTTGTGAGACAGTGTGAGTAGCTGGTGGAGAGGAAGAAATAGTTGGAATTTGAGAGAGGCTAGGAATTTGAGATGGAGCATTGCGGAAAGGATTATGACCCTTTCCAACACTTGTTGCCGATGATTCCACATTGGAAGCTTTGTTTGCTGGGGGGAAATTTACTAGAATTTCAGTTGGAGATTTTTGAGGAATATTTGATACTTTTTCAATATTACTGGATTTGGGTAAAGGAGAAGAAGAAGGTGCCACCACTGATTCCTTTGGTTTATCAACAACTCGTCCTGATAAATTGTCCAGAGGCTGAGGTCTCCCCTTATCGAAGGGAGGTAAGGCTCTGGTTCTCGCAGTTTCCCGCTGTGGAAGCATAAAAGTAAAAGGGAGATAATCGTTGCATTTAGTTATGCAATATAAAATCTTTAAAAAATTTTTGGTCTAAATCAGAGTTGTCTGTCCTTGTTTTATTTCATCAACTGGCGGAGGGCAAAGAAAAATAAGTTCATCTACTTACTTACCAAAAACGCATATGGAAAAGGTGATAGATCTAAACAATTTTTATAAGACAACATCCCAAACGTTTTGGAAACTGAATTTTGTAACAAAATAAATGCAACCCACATTTTTTCCAGTTTTACAAATGCAACACAAAAAAAAAAGTAGAAAAAATAGGATAAATAAGCTCTTTTACAACACAATCACTCAATACAATGAAGATGGATATTAATTTTATCCACCATTATTATTCACAGAATTTTAATTTTGAATATCATTTAAACACAATAGAGATAGTTATAAATCATTATGGAATTATTGTTCCTTTAGAGACTTATTGTAAATATTTTTTTTTCAGAATTTACTTGTCATTTTTATTAAGGAAATAATGTAAACACTGAGACAATTATTGGCCTATGTTTTCTTTATTTTTTTTAAGTTCCTGAAATTTTTTGCAGCTTTATATCTTGAAAAGGTTTATAACATTCATCATTATCATCAATTTGATTTTTGTATATCAACCTCTAATTAGGCAAAATGATGCTTCGTGACCAGAGGTTTTGATTTAAGGTAATCCTTAAAATGTGCAAAGTTAATGTGTAAAAAAAAAAAAAAATAATTAGGGTGAAAGAGAGTTGAATGACAATATTGTGTGGAAAGAAAGCAAAGGAGAGTTGTGGAAAGCAAAGGGCAGTGGGAAAGAAGGGAAAAATAAATGATCAATTTTCTATGATAGCTGAAAAAGAACAGTTCCATGTAGCCAGAGTTATTGAATTAAGATACCTCTAAAATGCGTTTATTTTTATTTTGGAGTTTTTAAATTATCACAGTGATTTGTAATCAACAATAATATTGTCTGGCCAGCATTTACAAAGAACTGGTGGGGGGAGAGGCAATTTAAATGAGAGAACGGTTACATGCTAATTACAGAGTAATCTCCCTTATTTTCATATGAATAAAAAATATCTGTAAAAAATAAAAATAGTTCATTTTGCACATCCTACACAAGTTATGTAATCCACAAGAGAGAATTCAATAATTTAAAAAAAAATTTTCTCAGAAAGGCTGATCCAATGGGCCCATAAGATTGTCTGGTATAAATTTAATATTCACTAACATATGAAATGATAAACTGAATATAAATATTAAATCAAAAATGGATGAAGATTTCAAGTGAATAAAATTTTAGATCAAACATAAAAAATCTGGTAGCATTCTTAAAGTTGGGGTTTTTATACCACAATGGAAACATGACAATGTTTAAACTCACCTAAGTAGTGATAAAATAATTTTTTCCTTTTTAGAATTACCAATAAAACTAGTTTGAGATTTTCCTGGTTAACTCAGTTATCTTAAAAGAAAATCACCTTAACTTAAAATTCTTTCATCCTGTTGATGTCAAGTTTCTGAAACTAGATTTCAAATGTTAAAGATCATTGCAGGAAGGTTGGTTAAAAGAAGCAATCATATTAAAGAAGAATCCAATTTTTGAACTGGTATTGACCAATGAAAGAATAGGTCATATTGAGAACCACTTAGCACCTCCTTAGAAATATTTGGTTTGGCTGTTAGTAGAATAAGTTCTCATTTTAAAGGCAACACCAAAAACTGGCAAGTAGACAAATTCTGACTATGGTCCCTTATAATTACACCTTAAATTCTAATTGTTTGATATTTAAACTTATGGTCTGACCTTCAGGGGAATAAGTTGACCATATAAAGATAGAATGGTACCAAAAGTGTTATAGAAAATAGAATGATATTGAATTATTTATTCCCAAGCTGCTGCTGCCTTTTGATAATCAGAGGAATTTTGTCACATTAAAATATTTATTAAAACACAAATGAATGAATTGTTGAGCCTAAGAAATGCTGTACTGGACAACAGAATGAAAAAACTAGACCAACATAGTACATTTTTTTTTTGGACAATTAAATACCATCTTTGCTGGCATCAAGGACTCAGTTTCTTTCCCAAAATAAGGCTAAAGAATTTTCAGTATAAAGGTTGGGGAAGGTTATCTATGTCAGATAGTAAACTGAATTCCTGTAGGTTATGCAAATTTTCATGACTTACTACCCCCCCACCCCGAAATATGTTCTTGACACTGGCAAATACAGTATATCTACATATAAAATTCTGTGACTTCTGTTATTTCATCCATCACACCTTCTAAAATAACCATTCACTGACAGATTTGGGGGACAAGTGCAAATAGGCAAGGGGGTTACAAAATGCAGTTAGTTTTACTAGGGTACAGAGCTTAGTACATTTTCATTAATTTTTTTTTTTTTTGAAAAATTAAGTTTTATTATTTAACATACAAAATACCCCCACTATTTTAAAAATTTAATGATTAAAATAAATACTTATTTAATAAAAATGAAATTGTTTTTTTTTTTTTGCATATCTAAATTTTTATATATACAAGAATCCAGTTTGCCCTGCTTTTGTAAGAACTATAAAACAAATTACAAGGCCAAATGCTTCAAAAAGTTGGAATTTGCCTCCAGAAAGAAATATTTATGCATGAAGGATTTCAATCAGTGTCAGCATGTAGCAAAAAAAATTGTTTTATTTATGAGGTAATAGTGTTCAAGACTGAAAATACAGATTTAAAAACCTATGTGCCATGTCCTTTGTAGCTTTTAGTAAATTTTATCTCTCCAAACCCTGTTTTGCATCCCTTTACACAAGTTCATTAGGTTAGTTATAAGCCATTTTCCTCTGACCCTCTTGCCTTCAATACATCCTTTTGAGTGTTAAATTTTCCAAACCTTCTTTCCTTATGTGCCCTAGAAATTTAAACTTTCTCTTCCTGATAAGTATAAATTTCCTTTTTGTTTCCATTTTCCCTAAAATATTCAGTACCTGGTATTCTCAGCATCCTTCTGTAGAACCACATTTCTGTTGTTTCAAGTCTTTTTTTCATCTGTGATGAGACTGTCCAGTATTCACTGCTGAATAGGAGGACTGCTATTGCATAACAGTTAAGTACTCTTTTCCTTGTTGTAACATTTTTCCTATTTCTTAATACTTTCCTTAGCTTTTGGAAGGCATCTTTCACTATTCCAATGAACCTTTGAATTTTGGTGTTACACTTTCCATCCTATTAAAACTCTTCCCAGATATATAAATTATTGTATTTGATTGATTTTGGTATCCCCATTTTGTAATTTGCATGCTGGGCTGCTCCTTTTGCTAACAACCATATATTCTGTCTTTATGCAATTGATGTTTATTCCTCACTTTCCTTCACTACCATCTGTAGGAGTTCCTGTAGTTTCCATTCTGTGTCTGCTTTCAATATTGGTCATCTGCATAGAGTATAACTTCAATATTAAGCTCTCTTCCACTATAAATATAGCAAATTTTCAATTGTCTTTTCTGATAGTAAGTTTAAGATTCCTTTTTGTTTCTATTTTCTGGAAAATTCTTCATTGGTCACATACTCGATCCATGATATTCTTAGCATTACATTCTGTTACATTGTTTCCTCTTCATCTGTGAGAAAATTCTCCAGTATTCACTGCCATATAGGAGGACTGACATTACAATATTCAGCAATATTTTTTGTTTTTTCCTGTTTCTTAATACTTTGCTTAGCTTTTGGAAGGCATTTTCACTATTCCAATATACCTTTGGATTTCGGTGTCACATTTTCCAGCATCTGTTAAAACACTTAAGAATAGTTAAATTTCTGTACTGGTTTAAATAAATCTTTTCAAGAAATTAGAAAATTACAACTTGTCTTATTAGCTGATCAGTTCAAACAACCCTCATATTTTTTCAAACAATTAACAAGAGAAAGGTTTCAATTGAAATTTGATAGAAAAATTATAAACCCAGTGAAAGAATAGATAGTTACATTTTTAGTACTCTCCTTCAGTGTGTTAATTGACAGGTTGATTTTCTTTAGTGGCATATCAACACATCTATGGGTTAATGCTGAAATCTAAATAATTTGAACATAATTTTATGGCTTTAACTAATTTGAATGCAGTTGTATGCTTTCAACTACAAATAAAATGTATTGCTGATCATTTTACTATAAATATGTATTGTTGGTCCTTTTTTATATAAATATGTATTGCAGGTATTTTTACTATAAAAAATTTATTTTTATATTTTCATAGAATTTGTTTGGAGTGAGGGGGTTCACCATTTGCCCATATCTTGGACCATAAAAGGTGTATAGTGGACACAGCCTGCACTCCAACTCTGCTAGACACCATAAAAGCCAGCATTTGTTAACACTGGGCAGTTGCTTGAAGGGACACCACCAGTGCAACAGGGGTGAAGGTAAAGAATGACAATAACTCAGCTACAAGCTATTTTGGCAATATTGATTGATATCCAATTTATATCAGTGTTTGTCTGGGCCAAATGTGGTCAAATGGACAGAAAAAGCAGAACTTGCTTGTCAGATGTGTGAAGTGAAGTAGCCAGAACCTGTGACTCCTCTAAGACTGATGGTGTATTTGCTGTCTATCAGCAATTAAGTGAAGAAGAAAAAGCAGATGTTGAACACATAAATTCATCCCTTTACACAGTTTGTAAAGTAAGGGTTTTTTGTGTATGAGCAATTCTCTGAACAGTGCCTTCAACCAGGGGAATCTGTTGATGTGTACTCAAACTGGCCATATTGTTCAGGGACATCAGCGACCATGGTTTGGCATGCGCTTTTGTCAAAGGGTTACCAAATCACATGAAATGGCTCCATCGCACTTCTTCTCAGATGGAGGTATTGACCATCAAATAGATGCTCACCCGTACTCAAGCAATAATGAAAGACGAGAACCTAGACAAAGACTTAGCAGTAGAAAAATACACCGTGTGTGTGTGTGTGTGTGTGAATGGCTCATGCACACTGACAGGCAAAGCCAGAGTGAGCACTAAGGTTGTGAGTGAGATATTGATCAGAAAGCAGTTGCAAACCTTCTTCTTGGAATTGGTTAAGGAGTATGCATTAATGGTGGATGTTACGCTCATCAAATTGAATCTGAACAAAGTGGACAGAATCACCAGAGTCTCACAGAGGTGGCTGGAAGCAATGAAGAACGAGGCAGAACCTGTGCTACAAGTATGTGCTGTGGCTGGCAGCTAATTCAGATAAGGCAAATACACTCATACAATGGAGGACACCCTGGTGTAAAATGAATGATGTACTTTGTCAGGAAAATCACTCTGTATAGGATGAATGCGGTTTTAAGATCTGCTATTAAATTCTGCCTGGAATGTCTGTGAATCAATCTGGCACCGATCCAGTGGTAAAAAGGGAAACTGAAGACAGTAGATATATGGCAGAGACTAGGGATGGCTATCACCCATTACAGGGGTGTTCACTATTTGACCCTTATAGACAGTGGGTCTACCCGGTTTGCCATTTGGTGACCTCTATGACAAGAACATTTGGCTACTGTGATCCGGTGTCTCAACTATCTTTTTTCAGAGGGGCCCACCTAGAGAGATCTTGATAGATAATGATATAGCATTTAACAGCAGGAGCTTTAGAATGTTTGCTGAGAAGTGGGGTATCTGCCTGTGTTCCTAATGTGCATATGCACTATCTGGAAATGCCATTTTTGAATAAGCAGATTGCTGCCAGAAAGCAATGTTCTGTCCAGGAAGCAGTTTATTGGTATAATGTTACACCAAAGGATGGTGTCCATGGTGCAACTGCTCTGGCTAATGCTTTGTACCAGTATAAAAGCCAAGTGAAAGGTGTCGATTGAATCCCTCCACTTGAACCTGTGTAGGTTATGTACAAGAAAAGGAACATTGTACTAGTAAGGACTCCACTGAACAGATTCACAAGTAAATGGAGGATAAGGGACAGTGACTGGATTTGTGAGTCCCCAAGTGGTTTACATGGGGGGAATACTGTGCCATGTGAGAGACCTCTGCCCTTTTCTTCATATGGTGAGCAATTCTGTGGAGTGACAATGAGATATACATACCTGTAACAAAGAATGAAGACTATTGATGTTGACTCTAACCAATCTAGCAATAGTGACGACAATGAAGGTTGGCAGATCCTGATAGGGCCACCTCAAAAAGCAAATGAGCCTGCCAAACTGCTTCTTTGAAGAAGCAGATGTAAAAAGCCATCCCCTCAGCTGCTACCAGTATGATAGTGAGATTATGGGGGTTTTAGGGGACACAGTCTGTCCCCTTAGCATAAACAACATAAGATCACTTATGCTGTGCATGGGAGACTCAATTTTTGTGCACTGGGTGATGTCTCACGTGACCAAAAATTTGTGTAGCAACCTCACAAGATGCCATAAAAGCCAGCATTTGTTAACACTGGACAGTTGCTTGAAGGGATACCACTGGTGCAACAGGAGTGAAGGAAAAAATTATGATAACTCAGCTACAAGGTACTATCACCCTGGATCAGTTTGAACCTGGGAACAACAGCAATTAAGAGGTGGTTTCATGCTCATCAAAATCTCCAATCTCCCGATCAGAGTCCTGATGTACCAGATGTAGTTTATCGTCATACCCAAGACTACCTTCAATGCGAGTTGCTATATTGTCAGAAGATATTTGTTAGGCTCTACCATATCTTTATAGTATCTATAAAAAACAATGCAATCTCTTCACAAGCTGTCAAAAAAGGAATTTAAAAGAGGTAAATTCCAATGTGCTTACATGAGAAACTTGTATGAAGTAGTGAAAAGTTTTCAGCCCAACCAAGTTCCCAAAATCTGTAAAGTGTTTTTTTTTCCTATTGTAAAATGTCAGATTAGTTATCTTTTAAAATTATTTCAGATTATTAAATAAATCCTGTCAATGGACAAAGTATAGCATTCAGAAATGTTGAACTGTGAGTTGTCATGAAATTTGTTCCTGCAGAAGGAAATCAATGAGAGAGACCTTGGGATCCAAGTTGAAGCATGGTCTATGAAGCTTTCAATGATGTCAGATTCTGAAATTAATGTTCATGATCTAATTTGAGCCAATAAATGTCTTCCAGTTAAAACTTGCTGAAACAGATTATCCAGGAAACCTGTTGAGTTTGTAGTCCATGTATATTTGGGTATGTGGAAGCTGTTGGCCAAGTTGATACCAGAAACATGATTAAAGCAATCTGATATGGAAACCAAACAATAGTTCATGCTATAGTGGCACTTGGGGACTCTCTAGGCAAAGAAATCTCAAAACCTAGAATGTATTTTGATGACTATTTTTTGAAAAGCCAAACCATTAATGCAGAATACTAATTTAATTTGCTTTTCCAATTAAAGGAGACATTGCCAGGAAAAAAAAAAAAAAAAAAAAAGCAGAAAGGTGTTCACTTTTTTTGAAGGGCAATAATTGGGATTGGCATGATGATGAATTTTTTTTTTTTTAAAGAATTTGGTGTTTGACTCCGATATGTTTGAAGCAGCAAAGTGGTTTTGGACTACTGTAACTGAGTAGGACAATCTAGCAGGTAACCGTAGTGGACTGGTCCTCGTGGTAGGCAATAGGCGAAAACTATAGGCGTAGCCAATTGGTATCCTCTTATACCTCCACATCGGTCTGGCTGGTGTCAGTCATAAATATAATCATATTACTGTGAGGAGGAACTCAGGTGTATGCATATTCATTACATCAGACTGTATAGAGCATCCACCCATATCTGACTATTTGCCCCTCCCTGCATTTCCACATCTTAAAATTAGTTTGAAAAGGAAAAAGTTTCCAATTGATTCTGAAGTGATCACTAGCAGAAGAGCATTTCAATGATTAAACATCAGATTTTTTTTTTTTTTTTTTGCAGGGCAGTGGGTATGTTAAAGAAATTGTGTCAAATGTGTTCAATTGTAGGGAGAATAATTGGAATAGTATACACATTTAATGGAGCTACATTATTCTTGTCTTGGTCAGGCCAAGAACTTTTCAACTTACATTATAGTTGGAATATAAGCTTATTTTTCCATACTTTTATTATTATTTTTTTTAAGTGTAGTCCAATTATTGAACAGCCTTTGAAATCTGTAAATTGCACAAATATAGAAGAAAGCCTAAAAACCTCAGGATATTCAACTTCATAATTCTCTAGAAAATATTTACATTTAGGAAGAGAAAAACAAAAATCAAAGAAAAAAGGCCTTGAAAATCTTTTCAAGAATATAGTCTTAAGAAAAATTCATAAACAATTCCAAGAAATATTTTTTGATTGTAAATTAATGACACCCTACAGCAAAGAATTGATGCTTTTAAAAATGTTTGAATTATTACAACTTATTTCTAATAATATAAGACATTGAAAATTTCCAAGACTTTGATTAAACAAAAGTCAGATTATATTACATAGAAGAATTCTAGAAAAGTTGAAAATAGTTTCATTCTTGATTTAAGGGGGGGAGGCTAAATTTCATGATTTTAGAATTTAAAAAAAAAAAAAACATTAAGAAAAGAAAAAATTGTAAAAATAAATGGAACATAATTCTGTAAAAATAATTTAATAAAATTTTTATATTAATTTTTTACCTGTGGGATTTTGGATATTTTTACTGGTGGAACAAAGACTTCATTTGGTAAGGCAGTCATTTTTTGTTGATCGAGGGCATCAGCTCTGAAAAATAAAGTAAATAAGTTTTAAAATCTATAAACAAAATTAAAAAGAAATTGAATGGAAAAACTTATATTTATTATTTCAAATGTTATTATAGTGGATACTTGTATTTGAAATAGGCACCCCATTTTTGCTTTTAATTTTAAACAATGTGTGTTACATGTATCAGACTGTGTATTCACAAAATCTTAATAAAATTTGTTCTGTACTTTTTCCTAGAAAGGTCACTTCCTATCCAAAAAAGGAAAGCTTATATTTGTGATACTGCAAAAGATGCTGTAAGAATGATTAGTTTGTTGTATTGCTCCAGGAAATACCAAACTACTGTCATGCTCTATGTTCATGAGAGTCACAACAAAGCAAGAAGGAAGTATTGCTGCCATATCTGGGCTGGAGGTGGTACTACACAATCCTCACTGTCCAGTCAGGACAAGAGTTCAAAAGTGATTACGTAGCCTTGTGTGTGATTAATTATAATCCACCCTGCAACCCTTATCCCATAGATGTGTTAAATAATAGTTTAGCAGACTATTATTTTCAGGGGTAATGATATCTCTGCTCAGACTTCCTGAGGTTGACCTTTGGAGTCAGATGGAAGACAAAACAAGGAAGTTGATTTTGATTGACTGAACAAGCATGAGAATGATAGAAAAAGGGTTTTCAGCGCGCTGGTTCTTATATGTAAAGGAATGTAGAGGTGGTCTCTTTTGTGACTCCTCAGTTGAAGAGAGTGACCCCACTGCATAGTAGATAATGTATACGTTGACGTGATTAATAAATAGTTAAATTAAAATTCCCTGTTCTTTTTTACCTGTGGACTCAAAACAAGCGATCACTGGCCAAGAGAGAAGAATGACCTTTATTAACAAATCAAGACCATTGACCAAGACCACCCTGTCTAGGGGAGCTATGCAATAGATGAAACATTGTGAGCCTTTCACTACTACATCACTATTACTATGGCAGATGTTTTGACGAGTTACATTCCTTAGTTCCACCAATTTGGACTTTCACAGCTAGGACCCACCATGCCATGTACATGGTAGCAAACCATCCCCATTTTCTTTGTGTCCCTTTGATAAAAAAGCAAGTTATGTTCAGATAGCTTCTTGCCCAGAATTGTTGCTTAGTGGAACAGACTATTGAGTGAATTCTTCCCTGACCACTACAATCTTGGCAGGGTTAACCAATATCTTTCCTGTCATCATATTATGCAATTTTTACTTCTTGCCCACTCAAGACTATCTCACTCATTGAGTGACCCTTGCTGAACTAATAGTAAATTAAAAAAAAAAAAAAATTAAAATGGCAATATTTCATTGTGAATAAAGCACATTTCCTCCTGTCTAAATCTGAATCTCCCAATTGCATCTACACTCTGTAGAAAAAACTTGGTATCTAAGTTGTAATCTACAAATGACTAGTTTAATGGCCCACACAATACTTGCTATATTCCCAATATCTTAACAGTTTATTGGATATTATTGACTTATTGATTTGTTTTCTATGGGTTACTTAAAAGCCAGAAAATATTTTTAGATTCTAAGATTATTTTTTGAGACTTTTTTGGAGATAATGATTTAATAATGATACAAGTCTTACTAATTAACCCATAGATGGGGGAGAAGAGGTGGATTCATACCTTTCTCAAGGGTATTTGTGCATAAGTGAATCTAACAAACCCAACTGAAATTGAAACTCAGTTCTCCAATGAACAGTTCGGAGCTGTTATCCATTACACCACCCACACATCCAAGCTAGTATTCCCAAGCAGTTACCCATCTAGGTACTGACCAGGCTTGATGTTGCTTAACTTTGGTGATCATAAAGGAACCAATGTTTCAACATGATATGGCCATAAGCCTTTATTGGATATGCTACAAAATGTGTAGTAATTAAAAGAAATATCTGTACTACTGATTATAATTTCACATGATGTTCACTAATAAAATTCAAATGAAAAAGTAAACAATACTAACCCAGTGTAGCTACTGGTGGAGGAACTAAGAGATGTCTTATTTCTGACATGGTTAATCACATCGTCCTGCATGCTTACATCACTACAAATAAAAGCAGTTTACAGCATTAAACAACAAAGAAATTTATTAAATGAAAGAGTCCTGTATGAAGAAAAAGACAAAGGTAAAATTTATGAGGAATCTTTTGAACAAAAAGGTTTCTCTCAGAGCAAGATTTGCTGAAACTGTATATGAGCAAGTTGATGAATTCAATAATTTTAAATTGGGTACATAATAAACTGATGAGAAAGAAAAGCGAATAGAAAAATAATGCCAAGTTGCATAACGAAAGAATAAGAAATATTTAGAGAAGATTAAGAATTATCTCCCTTAGATTTTAAAACGAAACCTGAATGTTTTTTAGATAGAAATTTAGTCAATAGAATTTATATAGGATGGCAGTGTTGAAAATTCAAGTAGTCTTTAAACGAAAGAACAGTTAATGAAAACTGACAAAATCCTGATTAATAATTTTTAGAAAAAAACTATTTATTTACAAAAATATTTTATACATCCTAAAAGAAAAATATTTTAACACATGTAATATAACATCAAGTAGAAGCTTATGGAGCCATTAGACTAATTCAGCTTTAGTGCTGAAAAACGTTATATTTATTGGATAGTTACAGGCGAGTAGGGAGATAGGGTGTGCTTATTTTATTACCACAACACCCAAATTTGTGTATATATATATATATATATATATATATATATATATATATAAATAAAAATAAATAAATGTGTGAGAATGTGTATTTAGGCAGCAAATTCTCTTTCAGGCATGTCTGATTGAATAATTTACAAACGTGATGTCTACTTATTTTGGTCATAATCCTTTCATATTCATGAATATTTTCCATATATTGCAGTTAAAGGAGGCTAAAAATGCACTTTAACAGTGAGAATCACTTCTATTTCCCCAAGTACTTTCCATCTCTTTCTGAGATCATCATCAGTGGTGCAACTGGTAAGGCAAAAAACTATTTGTAGCTATCCATTACTGAGTTTTTCTTTTGCACTTAAATGCTATGGCTTTCAGTTATGCTTTAGCATTCATTAAATTTTCATACTTTAACGCACACTAAAATATAAAAGTGTGTGTGTGTGTATATATATATATATATATATATATATATATATATATATATATATATACACACACACACACACACAAAAATGGATTTATTTTTAATCCAATATTTTTATTACTTCTAACATTATCATAGTGGAAATAGTAGATACTTTGTATCTGAAATTGACACTATGATAACATTTGAAGTAATAAATAATACAGTATGTACCTTTTTTAATTGAGAATGAATTATTGAAAAAAAATCAAGTATTTGTGGAAGGTTTAGGGAGTGTAAATTCATCCCTGTAAAAATATTCAACTCACCTACAAAGTAAAGGGAAAAAGAAGAAAGCCAATAAAGTGTAAATCCCAAATTTTTATATTCCACATATTTTTTTTCTTTAACGAGACACAGGAACATTTCTTTCTGACACCTGTTGCTATGTCAACTTGGTCTGTTACATTTGAGTCTTACTCAGACCATCACACAGACTGACTACTTAATATGTTATCCTTTTATTTATATTTAGCACACAATCATGGCTTTTTAAAATGATAAACATTGCCAAAGAGTGAAGGTAGTTAAAAAAGGCAGTGTCATGGTAAAAACAAACAAACATCCTTTTGCCACTGTCTTATTGCTGGCATGTTTGTCCCTTGAACTTTCAAGAAGCTGCCTATCTGCTATTAAGCTAATTGGTAGCTTGTGTTATGGACATAGCATCCCTTTTCATTGCATGACTTTTTATTTTTTGTCTCCGATTGGAAGCTGTTATGTTTATTCTCTTAATATACCTGAAAGTGAAATGACAATGTTAAAATTTGACACATGACAAAAGACATTATATGAGGTCAACTTCCATTTATAGCCTGCAAAAAGATGTGACAAAGTTTAACGTATATACAAAAAAAGAAAAAGAAAAAGCCTGTTAAAAGGATTACTGTATATCCCCATGGCAATTTTCATCATTTTAGTATTTAACAGTTTTGTTGCCAATTCCCAAGCAGAAATTTACACTACTATTACTGTATATTCCCATGGCAATTTTCATCATTTTTGTAGAATCAATATGATACTCACCTACACAGGAAGGTTCCAAACTAGCATCCAGTTGGCAGACGGGGGTGAGTGAGCTGTAATTCAACACAGCTCTGCACTCAAGCAAACAATGTTGAATAATGGATATTTACCTATCACAATATTCACACTAGAACCAGCAGCCAACCAGGACTCAGAAAATGGGATTGCCTAAGTAGCAGAATAGAACAGTCCAGCAGATTGTTTCTGTTGAACTCTCTGCCTTGTGAAGAGAGGAACCCAGACTAGGCTTTGCCGAAGGGCAAAATTTTGTCTGGAGGGGTAGGCAGGCCCTGACCCAGTTTATGTGGGCTCTAAGGGAGTATTTTGGGCCGAGCCTACAGCCTCGGAGAACACACAGTAAACTCTGCCTAGTGCCACATACTTTCCTCATTGGGGTGGGGGGCTGTTAAATATTAACAGTCCAGCTTGCTACATATACCAGCTGTTCTAACCTCTGGGGATTGGAGAGCTTGCAATACAGCAGAGCACTAATCTGTTTATTCAATAGTTTTAAAAAAAGCTATTTTTTAAAAATTTTGATAAAACAGAAACATGAAAATGGATTAATATATTTTCTTTTCTTGGGAATTGACATCAAAAATTTAAATAAAAGTAATTGCTCATTTTACAATGAATGTAAAATAATAGCTAATTGAAAAATATGGATGCTGGAAGGTTTCCCTATTTCATCTCTAAGTTTCTGTATGGTCTGTTTTTTTTTTAACATGCAGTCTTGTGTTGTCATAGTGGAAAATGATCAATTTGCCAAAAGTCACCCATTTTCTTGAATAACTGCATTGATGAGTTGGACACAATACTTTGCAATTATTGTTTTGCCAGCTGGAAGAAGCTCAAAATTAATTATCTCTATCATTCCCACCAAACAGACAGCATCAACTTTATTGGATGCTTTAGCCATGTATTCTGCATATTCAGAAGTTTGATTCTAGCTCCATTTGCATCAAACATTAACATAAACAATCCATTTTTCATCCAAGAACAGCTCCTTTTCATGGTGGGACAACAAAGAAATCACTATAACACAATCAAGTTAGAGAATGTGGCACCTATATGTTAAATTTGGAAACAAACCCAAGTCTTTTCAATATGGCGAAAGGCAGTTGAGATATCGATTTTCAAATATCTTCTGTCAAAATCTTCAATTTATTCTCCACGATAACAAGCAGAATGTCTTCATAGATGTCAGAAGGTTGTTCCGGGTATAGTTTATCATTTAGGTAAAAATCACACTGATGACATTTGGCAAACCACATTCTTATTGTCTGAAGTGCTGGAACACGATCCAAATAAACCTGAATGTTTTTGTGATCATTCCAATGCTTACTCCTTTCCAAAATTCATAGCTCATAATATGGTGAAAGTGCAACTTTACATTCTCCATCTTTAAGGTAGTTATTTGTGGACAAAACATCAACATTCAACAAAGTCTGATTCACAACTGAATGATGCAAGGTTTTGATCTAGAACACACCAGAAATCAGCACCAAAACAAACACCAGTGTCATGACTTAATCATTTCATATTAACAATGAAAATCAGGGACAAACTTTTGCAATGATATCATTCTAAAGCATCTTTTACACAAACAGTAATTCAAATAATTATAATATTTGTATAATACAGAATGTTAAAATATTAGCAAAAGTTTAATCTGTGTTCACAGGTTAAGTTAAGAAATGGCTGAAAATGACCAAAATTTTTTTTTTTCTATAAACAGTGAAGTTTTTGATCCCTGTTTTGCCACCCTTGGGAACCCAGACTGATAAGAAAGAGCTAACTATATCATTATTGTAGAATAACAAAATTTATACATTTTACTCAAGATAGGTGTTAATTAAAACAGCTTTAATAATTACACCTTAAATTTCAAATATTAAACATATTTCATAGAAATTTCAGAGATTTAAAAAAAATTCTTTTACATTTTATATATTTTATTTTTTACATACCTGAAATTTTCAAATAAGCTGATGTAAATGCAAAATCTTGACTGCATATGTTGTTAAGAGTTGGTCAAGTTTTATGAAAATCTGCAATTTCTTTATTAATTATTATGTTTAAGTTTTTTGTAGTTATTTTTCATAAAAAATTATAGCAAATTAAACTGCATTTGTTAGTAACTGAAGAGAGAGATATGAATGAAATTTCTTAAATGAAGCATTATTATTATTATTATTATTATTAATTCCCAACCTTGGAATGGTTAATGGTGGCACATTTTATCTGTTTGCAAAAATGTTGAGTGAAAAGGGCCCTGGGACAATCATTTATTCATTGCCTGTGATTGTCCTTTTTAAAAATGGGTTTTTAAATTTTTTTTCAATAATTCATGAGGCAACCAATTATTGAACAGATTTGCTCATCCAATTGTTTTCAAATACTTTTATGAGATATGTGAAAAATCTGTGATTTGTGTTGTATGACATCAGCATATTGATTCAGTTGTTATCGATGACTGTAGGCTTACCAGAATGTTCTCAGTCTTCTGGCTCAAGATTTCCACTTCTGAATCTAGTGAACCACTTAGGAACTAATACTCTCAGCTATGGCGCATATATTTTTTGCTGTTTGTACTGCAATTTTCTTGCATTTTCACATTTAAAATTTGCAATCCAAACAAATCATATAAAAAGATGCAGTGAAATATCACCTTTCATAATATGTATATCTGAAAATGCTACAAACTTGTTCCAATCCAATAGAAAAGTTTCCTGAAAGTTATAATAGAAAGCAACAGAACTATAATAAAAAAAGAGAAGTTCTTTGAAGATTAATAATGATAGCATTGGATTTTTTTTTTTTAAACCTGGCCAAATATTTTACATAATTATTATCTCATTAGTTAGAATCAATAGTTTTTCAAAATTTTTGAAGAAAGAAAAATTAATTTTCAAAAATCAACATTCAAACAATAGATTTTGAAAGATAAGTTGGCAGACATTTTTTAAATATTTGTTTTATACAAGAAAAGCTTAAAGTTTATTAAATGTTCTCTCTTTTTATTGAAAAAACAAATTTAAATCTGAAATATGTGGTCAGGTAAAAATAAATATTATAAAAGCTTATAAAAGGTAAGAGTAAATATTTGCTAGTAGTTAGTGAAATATTGGTTATTTGATTAATTACATTAGGCAGTTTACCTATTTCAATTCAAACTTGTTAATAGTTTTTAGTTTTGTTAATATTTTCTAAGAAACAAAGTTAAATAAGGAGAGACAATGCAAGAAGTTTGGAAATATGTCAATTAAAAATATTTTTTAAAGGTATGAACAGAAAAGGATGTAATTAAATGTTATGAGAAGCAACATTTTATATATAGAAAATGGTAAGAAAAATGAAAACCAATTTTCGAATAGATAAAAGGTTTGTAGAAAAAAAATGTTGGAAAGAGTAGAAATAAAGATGTTGAAATTTTAATGTCGACAATGAAAACATAAGTGGTGAATTTAAAATTTAAAAAGAAAAATTATGATTTAAGGGAAGTAACTCATGCATCAGAACGCCATCTTTAAAAATATTGCGTTCAAGGGAAGTAATTCATGCATGTCATATAAACCAGGCATGGGCAACCTTTTCCAAGATGTGGGCCGCATGAAATATGCCTTACCATAAAACGGCACGAGTAAAAGACAAGATAATTTTTTTGTTGAAGGTGTCTCAGCCATTTTCATTATAGAAAATGATATGCATAATCATCTGCATTAGAAAGGAAAAAGTTAATTTTTGTTTTGGATAAAGGATTTTATCTATAATTAAGTTTTCATATATCACTGCTGTGTGTGATTTGTTTCTAATTTATTCTTCATTTGACAATACAAAGAATTTTTTTGTAAAAAAATAAATTTCTTCTGCCAAGAAAAATAATTATTATGAATGTTCCCTGTTTTGAATGCAAAACATGTATTATCTACCTTAGTTAAAATTCGCCAATGATTGAAAATGCTGAAAACTCTACCTTCAATGAAATATTACAAAATTGAAGAAACATTAATGTTTATATGCATGTAGTTATTTATGAGAGAATGTGTGAGTGAACAAGTGAAAATGAAATGAAAAAGAATTTTTCAATGTTATTTTCCTCATGACATTGTGTGCAATCCAGTAAGGCAAACAGGCTTCAGTTTGCCCATAACTGTCACAAACAATAACACACAAAAGGAAAGGAAAGAAAGAAATTGTATAAGTAAAAAAAGAAAATTAAAGAATAACAAGTAAAAAAAGAAAAGAAAAACTGTAACACGGAAAACATGCAATATTGAAAGAGCAGGTTCAAGCTGAAAGTTAATAGTACAACTATCGCTGTACTAATAGCTATTATTCAGCTGAAAAATCTGAAAAACTTATTTGTCAGCTTAAAATTTTTTAGAGTTAGTAACTAATAAAGGGTTAGATATGTATTAATTAAGGCTGTTATCCAATAACACATGCTAAACACAGACAGAGCCAGCAGTGATGGCAGATACCTTTCTTCCTCAATTTCACTGCCAGTGTCAGCAGCCACAGCGTGTATTTCCTTCCGTGGCTCTTGGGGAGATGAGACAACACTGGGGACACTTTCGCTGTCTCCGTCAGCGACATCAGAACTAGCACTGAAATAACGGACAGGAATATTAAGCTATCAATACTAGCAGAAGACTCAAGTTTCATAACAGTGAGAGATAGAAAGGACTAAGTATGGACTTGAAAAATTTATATATTTTAAATTATTTGTGATGAACATATTCCTGAGATCATGAAAATTATATATAACTGGGTGTTTATTCTAAATTTTGTTCAGACTATATAAGTTTTTTTCTTTCTTTTTTTTTTTTTTTTTAAATTTTTTTTTATATATCCCACATAGGTAAAAATATAAGAAAAAGAAGTTGGGAATGCAATTGGAATCTTTAAGAACATTTATTTAAACTAACTTTACTGGTTTCACAGTTCTATGATTTTCAAAAGTTAAATTGAAGCGGAGAAATGTGTGGTTATGATAAGATATGTCTTACTTACGACTGTACTTGGAGAATTCTTTCATTTTTATGCAAAAAAAAGTGGGTCAGATTGCTGTTTAAAAAAAATGCAATCTACTTAGTTGATTATGATCAGGTATAGTAATTTTGCACCAAAAATTTATGGTCATAAAATTTTAGTGTCAAAAATTGGGAATGTCCTGTTTCAGTGAGTGTGGCTAAAGGCAACAAAGTGTTAAGTAGTTCATGACAACCAAAGTTGTCATATTCTTAAAAACTCCAGTTGCATTTTCAAAGTAGTCCTTTGAGAAAGACTATTAAAAGATAGAAAACTCATTTCAACTTTTGTAACAAACAATGAATCATACAACAGTTACAAACAGGAAAAAGAACACCTGACATATGTTTAACTTAATGTAAGAGAAGAGTCAAATTTAAAGATATGAAGATTCTTAGATCAAACACTATTTAAATCCTTATTGTCATATTCACAACATTTTGGCTGTTATATGCTCCGGCTTTCTTCAGGTGATATATGCTGAAACTTTGAACTGAAACTGAACACAACTCTTTGGATTAAGTCACTGGATTCCCAAAGAATAACAAGTAAAAAAAGAAAAGAAAAACTGTAACACGGAAAACATGCAATATTGAAAGAGCAGGTTTAAGCTGAAAGTTACTAGTACAACTATTGCTGTACTAATAGCTATTATTCAGCTGAAAAACTTATTTGTCAGCTTAAAATTTTTTAGAGTTAGTAACTAATAAAGGGTTAGATATGTATTAATTGAAGAAAGAAGTGTGAGTTCAATACCTGGCTACAGCAGAGGAACAAAAACTTGGAGAGTTAAGTTACTAAAGGGAGATAACCGAAACTGAGATATCCAGAACTGAGATATCCAGAAAAGGTATGGCACGTGGAACTAGAACAATCTACCCTGGTGGACGAAAATAAAGGCTTTCAGGTCAAAATTCCAACATATATCACCTGAAGAAGGCTGGAGTGTACAACGGTCAAAACATTAGGAATATGACAATAAAGATGAGGACAATAGTCTAAACAATGTAAATAGTGGAAATAGTTACAATACCTCATCTTGGAAATAGACAGGCCAACAAACTCTTAAATAAAAATTAGAAAAACTCACCATTGTCCTTTTTTTTTTTTATTATGTATAAGAAAAAAAATCATCCACACAAAATGACTAATTTTTGTGTCCTTGATATATATATATATATATATATATATATTTATATATTTTTTAATGGGGTGTTTAAAACCTTATGATACCAACACTATGACAATGGCCCACAGTACTAATAGAGACTTCCAAATGACAGTGAATGCTAAATAATTTTCTCACAGATGAAGAGATAAAGCAACAGAGGTGTGTGTCTGCTGATTAATGCCAAAATACTATGGGCATAGTATATGAGTAATGACAGAATTTTAACGAGGATACTATAAACTGTTGCTTACATTCAGAAAGAGATAGCTGAAATTTCTGGGACACATGAGGAAAGAAGTCTAAGAGAGATTAACACTCACAGGATATTGAAGACTAAAGAAGCAGAAAGAAACTGTAATCTACTTGAGTTTGAAAGAATAGATGACAAGAAAAAGAGGGATAAGTTACTTAGAGTAACAAAAGGAAGTTGTGGAGCGCCATGATTTTCCACATCTGAAAAGGACATGCTTACATAGTCACATTAAATTTTTTGTATTTTTTTTTTATTTTATTAGAATTAAATAATTAAATCAGAATTTTCAGTCTTTAACAAAATAAATTTCAAAATGAGTTCATTTTTCTTCAATATTTCAATAATGAATGTTATCAAAAAAAATAAAACAATGTGAAAAAACAAGAGAGGACTAGGATTTTTTTAACCCCATAAATCCATGAAATAATCATTATTTATTTATAAAATGAAACTTACATCAAGGACTGACAATGAGAAGTGATGATAATCCCTTTTCCACCAAAATGGACAAATTCAAACATTTTGTTATAAGGTCTGCAAAGTCTGTCTGAAGTATTTATGTCCATATCTGGGGCTTCTAGGATCATTATAAAATGTGGACATCCATTACCCAAATGACTATTCCTAACCAGTCCTTATGTTAAACAGTTTCAAGAAAAACCACTTCCGGTTGTCTGCCCTTGAAAATATTCTTTATATCTTAAGTTTACCTTCCACAAAAGCGAGAAGTTTTGAATGGATTTATATTTAATTTAATCTGCCTTTTGGGAAGCCTAATACACCAATAAATTCCAGAAAATTTCTAAAAAATATAATAAAATAAACGTTTTTTTATTAACTTATTTACTTTTTCAATAATCACAAATTTAGGAACCAAATTCAATAACAAAAGAAACTTACCTTTCAGGCTCTTCTGGGGTAACAACTAAAATAAAATAAAAAACACATTTTTAAAAAAATTCTAGACAAGCACAGACACAGTCTTAATTAAATTAACCTACTTTTTTTATTATGATGATAGTTTGAAGAAATTTAATTTATTTATGTAAATTATCATTAATAATTGAATTTTTAACATTCAATGTCATGTCATTTTTTTGATTACATACAGAGAGAAATTATCTTAAGGGGAGATAACCTATACAAAACAAACCTAGCATATCTGATGATACAAAAAGATAGAGAACAAATGCTATCATAAGCATATTACTAGCATCCAAAAGAAGATAAATGATCTGTTACCACCCATCCAAAACTATCTTTGCAAAATGGAGCTTAACCATTATATCTTAAGAATAGCTTAAATGGAATCCTTATAAAGTAATGTCACATTTTAAAGATAAAATTAAAATCTGTTCAAACAGAAAAGATAAATTTATTTGTCAAGAACATAATTATTATCTTGAAAATAACTCAGTTATGAGTCCCATAATCTATTAGGGTTGTAAGGGCATCACATGTACTCCAGTAGCAGTGGTGTTTCCTGGGCAAGATAGCCTGACATAGCACAATACTCTCCAGGCTGGTTTTGAATTCAGAGTTTTTCTTCTCCTAGACTAGTCACCAACCAAGGTGATAGGACACAGTCTGTCCTGCTAATTTCCCATAGTTGGGAGAAGACATGGATTCATACCTTTCCCAAAGGTATAGCATATAAATGAATATAATGAATTCGACTGGAACTTGAACTTGCCTCTCTGATTCCTCAATCCAAGCTGCAATCCATTACTCCACTGACTAGCTCTTCCTAAATAGACTTTAACCATTAGCACTCTGCATTATTAATATTACTTCTCTTTTCACTGCATTCTTTTTGAAGGCCTATCAATTGCAGTATCCTTATTGTTAATTTCACTCAAAGTTGTTTTTCAAAGTTTGGCCTTCTTCAGATGGTTGGAATGTCGAACTGAACCGTTTATTTCACTCACTGGGGTAGACTGTTCTAGTTCCACATGCCATGTCTAATGGATGTCAGTTATCTCCTGTTAATTCCCCTCTGAAAGTTCTCCACTGCTTTAACCAGGTATTGAACTCACACTCTGGATTCTGTCACTGGATCTAATGAATGCCTTTATCCACTGTGCCATGTGTCCTTGAGTACACAGGGCGCATTGGATAAAAGCACATGGAACTAGAACACGTCTACCCCAGTGAGCGAAATAAAGGGTTCAGTTCGACATTCCAACCACCTGAAGAAGGCCAGAGCGTACAATGGCCGAAACGTTGTGATAAACATGGCAATGAAGATGAGGACAATAGTCTGAATGATGTAAATAGTGTACATAATACCTCATCTCAGAAATATAGACAGATAATGGCAACACAACTATGAAATTTAAACATGCTATTTTTCAGGGATGAAAGTTACTTTAAGTGGCAGGATAAACTTACTGTATAACAAATTAAGTCACATACAGAGAGATAAATGTTAAACTTGTAAAATGACACAAACCTGTATGATTTTGTTCTTCAAAACGTGCCTTAAAAATATTACATTTCATTTGTTCTGGGGGAATTGACAGTGGAACTGACTTTGCAATAAACTTTTCTTGGTTGTTCTTCATATCATTTACATCTTTTGTCTTCACAACAACATTACTTGGTTGTTCAATTCTTTTGATTTTTGCAGCAGCCACTTCTGAAGCATCTGCAGAAAAAATAAAATGCATTTAAATAAACAATCATTTTTTTTTTTTTTTTGTGAAGCTAAATTATTTTCATCACTTTTGAAAATTCTTCATAAAATGTTTATAGTAATATACAGATATTATTGGAGTGTTCAGAAAGTAATTCCATATTTCATCACTATGACTTATATGTCAACAAACCAAGACTAAATAATAGGAAATACCATCTAGAACTAGTTTGTCATCTCTTCTCCCCAACAGTGTTTTATTTATACTTTTTGGTTGATATAGGATATCAGTTGATTGTTGTGTTATGTTCCTAGGATACTAGTTCTTGTTTCACTACCTGATTCAAAGATTGAACTCATGACCACTAGATGACAATAACAGTTTTAACCAATTCTTATATCCACAGTGTTTAATTGGGAAAACTTACAAAAAGGGAATTTGGGTATCTTGTGAGCTTTTGCCTGAAAATCAAGCACAATTTTCTATTATCTGTGAAAGGGATTGAGATCTTGACCACTGTTGGACAGTCTCCTCAAAGATGAAGAAGAGACTTGAGGCAGTGGAGGTATGGTAAGGATATCATGGACTGAGAGTGTGAACAACAATGAGTTTTTGGAGAAGATGCAAACAAGGAGGAAGCTTATACTTAACATCAGGAAGAGGCAACTGAAATTTCTGGGACACATAATGAGAAAGGATGGCTTGAAGAATCTGATACTCACAGGTCAAATGAGGGAAAGAGAGACAAGGGAAAGCAACGCATGACATACTTAGCAGACGAGCAAGTGGATAACAGAACAGGGCCTGGGGAAAGTAGCAAAGAGACAAAACTTATTGAGAGCTACAAGGGATAGAAGGAAGTGGAGAGCCATGATCCCCTACATCCTGAAGGGACATGACACGTAAGAAAAGAAAGATGACAGTAATACATGTTTAATCAACTCTTATATCCACTACATCACCATCCTGTTTAGAGTGCATTTCAGGGTTTAATTGGGAAAATTGCAAAGAGGAAATTTGGGTTCCTCATGAACTTGTGCTTGAGAACTGAATGCAATGTTCCACCATCTACTGCAGTCTTTTAACCATGAATGTCAAACTTTCATTTTATATCACATTGTTACAGGTGATGAAAAATGGATTTTGCATGTCAATAGAAAACAGATAATTGTTGTCAGAAAAAAGAAGAAACATGTACCGACATGAAAACTCAATCCACAAAAGCCTTTGCTTTTTGCCTGGTGGAATATGAAAGATGTCATCCATTATGAATGACTGGAATATGGAAGGACCATTACTGCATATGTTTAATGTCAGCAACTTGGTCAGGTATATAAAGCATTACTTAAAAAATATCCTGCTTTGTTAAAGAGAAAAAGTGTTATTCTCCAGCAATGGTGCATACTGCAAAACAAACCTAAGAAAAAATAAGATCATTAGGAGGGGAGGTTCTTAAAATTGAACAAATGAAGATTATATTTGTGTGTTTGGAAACTAATTATATATTTAATTCCTATAAATTATGAGTCAACCAACCAAGGCCAAACTAAAGCTAAATAGTAGAAAAATGCATCTAGAATTAGTGTTGCTTATGCATTTCAGAGTTTAATTTGGAAAAGGTTCAAAAAGAGAATTTGGGTTCTTTGTAAGTTTTTGCTTGAGAATTGAAGACAGCATTCTATTATCGGTGAAAGGGATTGAACTAATGACCACAAGATGACAGTAACACATGTTTAAGTAACTCTTATATTCACTATTCCACCATCTCATTTACAATGCATTTCAGGGTTTAATTGGGAAAACTTGCAAATAGAAAATGTGGCTTCTTTTTTTTTTTTTTTGGCTTATGAACTGAACACAACGTTTCGACACCTGCTGCAGTGTTTTAACCAAGAATGTCAACCTTTCATTTTTATATCTCATTGTTACAGGTGATGAAAAATAGGTTTTGCATGTCAACAGAAAACATAATGGTTACCAAAAAAAAAAAAAATCCAAGACTCCATCTACAGAATCCTTGCTTTGTGTCTGGTGGAATAAGAAAACCATTGTCCATTATGAGATACTGGAAATGAAAGGACCATCATTGCAGATGTTTATTGTCAGCAATTTGGTCAGATAAACAAAGCATTACTTCAAAAGCATCATGCTTGGATAAAGAGGAAAGATATAGGACGATGCAAGGGTGCACACTGCAAAACAAACCAAGAAAAAAATAAAATCATTAGGCTGGGACGTTCTTCCATACTCATCAGATTTTACAAAATGACAAAAAAAAAAACAAAAAAAAAAAACATTCAGGTTTATTTGGATTGTATTCCAGCTCCTTAGACAATAAGAATGTGGTTTTCCAAATGTCATCAGTGTGATTTTTACCTGAATGATCAACTATGCCCGGAACAACCTTCTGACATCTATGAAGACATTCTGCTTGTTATTGTGGAGAATAAATTGAAGATTTTGACAGAAAAGATTTAAAAATTGATATCTTAACTGCCATTTGCCACATTGAAAAGACTTGAGTAAACAAAGCATTACTTCAAAAACAACATGCTTTGATAAAGAGAAAAGATACATGACGATGCAAGGGGTGCACACTGCAAAACAATGGGATGTTCTTCCACACTCACCAGATCTTACAACTTAAAGATTTTCATTTGTTTTAATCTCTAAAATATTTTATAAGTAAAAAAAAAAAAAAAAAAAGGCAACAAAAAAGCTGAAACTAATATTTTAAACTTTTTTCAGAAAAAAAAAACAAAAAAACTCCAGATTGGTTTAAGTGGGGAATAGAAAATTTGATGTAGTAGTTGAAAATGAAGGTGATTACAGTTTTGGTAAATAATATTTAAATAAATTTAATTTACACTTGTTTTTATATCCTTTCTGGTAAAATGTAATTACTTACTGAACACCCTAATATTTTATTTCCTTAAAAAAAACTTATGAACCATTTTCATTTTTTTTTTGTACTAGTTTATACAGAGTTACAAATGTTAAACTTGTAAAATAACACAAACCTGTATGATTTTGTTACTCCATCTTGTTTTTATCAGAACACAGTATATTAATCATTATTATTTTATTACTTAATATAATGAAGCATATATTCCTTACTATAGAATATTTAAGATATATATTTCTTAGAATGTATTGTAACCCATTAATACTCATTTTGAGATTTTTATATTATTTTTTTTTATTATGCTTCTTGATTCCTTGGGGAACATAGGACCATACCACAGTAACACCTCCTCAACAGACTCAGTTCTGGGAGATCCTTTTCAGCTCGGCCCATGTTGTACCGGCTGCCTTCACCTCAACATTTCTGCACCAAGTCTGTTTTGGTCGATCCCCTTTTTGCTTCCATTGTGGATTCCAGTCGAGGGCCTGCCTGGTGACACTAGAAACAGGCTTGCAGAGTGTGTGGCCAATCCATCCTCATTTCAGTTTCTTGATTCATTTTGGGATGGTGGCCATTAATGAGTTAAAGTCATGATAACAAGACTTGCAGATATTTTATCAACTCACCTCGTAATGAAACATCAGGTTTTTCTTCTTCATTATGATCAACAAAGTCCTCATCTTCATTGTCATCATCAATGGAAGTTTTTGAACAACTATTGACAGTGACTACAGCAGCAGCAGGAGGAGTAGATAATTCTTCAGGAGCAGTTTTTGAAGACGGACTAGCAGTGGCTGTACCCTTGATCAGACAGTCAAGACGTTCAAGAGCTGAAACTGGAACATTTGAAGGTTTGGTTTGGACTGTGATTATATCGCCATTGGAGACATGGGACGACTTGTCAATGATCTCTGGGGGTTGTCTCCTGGCCAGAGTTGCTGCAGATTGGACATCAGCAGGTGAATGGTGGGATTCTTTTGCTAATTTGTGCTTTCTCTCATTATCGGGAGTTGCATGCAGTCGTTGGACACGTCTGTGAAAAACAGATGAAATTTAAATATCCAAATTCCAACATTAGTAAATTTCATTAATCTACAAAATAATTGTTGAATAACTTTCCTTGACTCTGAAATAAATCAATGTCAGACAATAAACAACGTCCAAGTTATAATTCCAGTTCTTTGCTTGCTTCATCATCAAATGAAATGGCCAAGAACAAAAATCCAAAGTGTATATAAAAAAAAGTTACTTTTGATCTGATTATAATTTTATTAATAAAAAGATCAGACACTAACATTCCCAAACAGAACAAATACAAATTCTCATCTTGTACCTATTACTTTGCTGACAGCAAATTTCAAATCTAAATTGGTTGTCCATTTGAAATATTACAGATATTAGAAAATATATTCAGTTTAAATACAGGAATTATAAAAATGACTTCATGGTCATGCTGGATATGATGATAAACTGCAACCCTCTGATCGGGAGATTAGAAGTTTTGAGCAGTATGGAACCACTTCTTAACTGCAGTTGCTTCCAGGTCCACCTTGACCCAGGGTGGCAGCACCTGTTAGGGTCCTAGCTATGGGCAAATAGTGATCTCCCCCAAACAAAAAACAACAGCAAAAATTACCAAATATCAATAGTAAAATTACTAATAATACAATTTATCCCTTAAAAATATATATATCTAAAAAATAAAGTATAAAATTATGTACAAAATATCTGTAGTTGAAAAAGTTACATAAAAAATATTTAGATTTCGGCATTAAATAACCCATAGATGTTGATATATTACCAAACAAAATCAACTAACCAACATGAAAGAATTCTTTCATGACATTAATCCATATAATATCCTACAATTTCTTAAATCAAATGCTATTTCAAAATATAACTTTAACATAAAATATGCACATATTGCATCCATGCACAAAATCTGAGTATCATCTACCATGTATTCAACTGTGAAAGCAGAATAACGTATCATTTTTATTACTTCAAATCCACCAGTAAAACTAAATTTCAGCATTAAATGACTCAGAAAGGAGTTGAGTGTCCATTAAATAAACAGTCCTAAACAATCAAACTGTGTGTGCATGTGCACATACATATTTTAATTAAATGACAAACCTAGAAGTATTTTTACAAAATTACAAAAATTAAAAAAAAAAATCATTTTATTAATGGAATATTTTTTTAATATTTTCCTAATCGTTCAATAACATCTTGAAGAGTATTTGATTTTTTTTACAGTTTAAAAAAATAAGTTTTTTTTCTTGTCTCCAACCTTAAGATTTTATTTCTCAGCCCAGGGTTGGGGTTGTCCAGACTGAGTGAAAGAGAAATGCTTTATAACAATGCTTACATTGAATGGCACAAACAGATATAAGTCACCCATGCACACCAGAAATATGCATATATATTCTATATATAAAGTTACACATGCACATATGTGATGGACAGAAAATTAGACCTTCTTTTATAATGGTAATATTAACCATTCCTTTATAAAGAAACATTTGGCATTCATTGACCAAGCAGCTGATGCGTATTTCTGTTGAAAAACAATTTTACAACAAAATAAGTTTTCAAGTCCACTGTTATTGCTCTGTCCACTATTGATGGGAGGCAGGCTTCCTTACAAGTAAATATATTATCTCATTAAAATAAAAGGCTTTCAACAGGTTTTATAAGGAATTGGCAAAAAGACTAAGAAACAAAAAAAATATATTGTTTCAAACATTTTTTCTTTTAATCATTTCATCTCAAAGTAAGGCAATAAAGTCACTAAAACACAAGGAGTTACTGAGTGTGAGAGAATATGAGAAAAGAAATTATTATTATTATTAATGAGAGAAAAAAAGAACCAGAATTAAAAGAGAATGATTGAGATTGCATTTAAATTTTTGAAAATCAAATGCTTACTCAGGAACATTTGTGTTTATTCAACACCCACAGAGCCCACCTGTGGTTTATACTGCAACTATGCTGAGCAGACCTTAGTTACAGTTTCTGGGAAAGAGCATGTTAGCTTGTGTGATCAATAATTTGAACAAGGCCAGCACACTCAAGTCCTCGGCCACAATGACTTGTGACTTCATGCTAGCACAGCTATTGATGGCCCAAGAGTTGTTTACCCAATTTCACTCACAAGGCTTGGGTCAACCCATGGTATGGTTTTCAGGCACTTTCCAAATGTGCCACATGCTGGGATTGACCTCTTGAGTCCAATAACATCAGGAAGTTTCCTTCCTGACAAATCGACCATGGTGAGATATGAACTTAAGTCTCACGGTCAAAATAATAACATTCTAACCACATGGCCATATATATATATATATGTGTGTGTGTGTGTGTGTGTGTGTGTGTGCGCCCACACATCAGAATAATTTTAATGTAAGATTTTTTTTGCTTCAGCTTCCACAAATACTTCCTCACAAAAATATTCAAGTATTGTAGACCAGGGTTTTCCAAACTCTGAGTCAATCCCTTCAGTGGGTCACAAGATAAATAAAATGGGTTGTGACAAAAAAGAAAGAAAAAATACGTAAGTGACAGCAAAGTGCCGAAGTCACATATTTTTTTTTTCTTTTTTGTCACAGAAGTTTAAATATTGCACAGTATTCATAAATCGTCGCTAGTTTTTCACCAATGTAAAATCAATTCTCATTGAGTTTATGTATCTTGTTCGTCATACTCGTTGCAGACTGAGTGACATCAGTTCTTTCTCACAAAAAGGCCATGTGCCAAAACTTAGCTACAAAGATGTTGCCTTTTACAACTACTTACTTGTGTGAACTGGGATTTTTCACATTAACTCAATTTAAGACGAAGGACGAAAAGAGGCTCAACACTGCACCTGATATGCATGTAACATTGTCTTCCTGTGCTCTCAATTGGAATCAGTTGCTTATGAACAAACGAAGCACATCCATCACATTAAATGACATTTTTTCAAATATTATTTATTTTACCTGTGTGTTGTTGGAATTTCCTTTAAATTTGTTTTTGTAAAAGTAATAATTTTATATTTATACAAATAGGTACATGCAATCAATTCCAATATGTGTGGATCATAAGAAATTATATAGTCGATGCTAAATAAATGATTCGGTTTGGTTGTTTTGTTTAACGGCATTCCAACCTTAGTCTAAATAAACGAACCTAGTGAACAGAGTTTGATTTATTGCACGTAAGTATAATGGGTCACAATGCAAAAATGTGGTTCTTGCTGTGGGTCGCAGTAAAAACAAGTTTGAAAAATGCTGATGTGGACAACTATTTTATTTATTTTTAATTGATCTGAGTTTCAGAGCCAAGGTGTTTAAGAGTGCAGCAAATACGAACATTTATTTCATTCAAGTGAGACGGTGGCAGATGTAATCTTATTTTTCATATTGTTTAAACATGACCAGTGTCTAAACAATGTGCCATTTCCCTTCATGATGTGGGTGATCACATCTCTCCACAATGTCCTGGCCTTTTTTCCTTTAATATCAGGCTCACTTAATATAAGGCTCAAGAGCCACTCATGGTAGAGGGTTACTATGTATTATATGAATATAAGAAGGAAGTGAAAACTGAGTATAAAGAGGATAGATAGCACTTGACCTTTGACCTGAAGAAGTTCAAGATTGTAGTATTCAAAAAAGCATCCACACACAGGAGTATATTCTACAGAATAGCAGTTCTTGCAGAAAAAAAAAACTGTCTGAGAGAACTTCCTTAGAAATGGAATATGGAGGATATGTGGTTGATTTGACTCAGTGGAAGCAGCATGTCATGTCTTAGCTGTAAAGGTCTGAAATGGTAGAACTCAAGAGTGGAGCTCATCTGAACTATTTTCCATGGAAATAGTAATAGGCTTGCAACTAGGCTGTATATAGAAAGAGGCTGTAGAGTGGAAAATAAATCATTCATTACAAGACCACGTAAACAATTTTGAATTCTATCAAGGACATAACGTGTGGAATGAGCAGTTCCAACTCAGACATGGCAGTAAAACTCCAATTTTGGTTTAATTTGACTCTTAAAGACAAAGAATGGCAGAAGGAGTCATACTTTTTTAGTGCTGTTCGAGGAGCCAACCAGTATTCAGGAATCTTTAACAATAGAGCATATAAGTGTCACTTGACGCCTGAAGTGAACCTGAGTACCAATAGACATTCTAAATACGGAGCTTCACTGAGAGTGAATCCATTCATTGATGTTCTTTCTTTTTTTTCTTTACATCCCCATTTTGTTATGGCAATATTAGCCATTTCCCTACAAGGAAACATTTGGCATTCATTGACTGAGCAGACAGTACTGCTTTTGGTTGAAATTTATAACACCTTTTTCTTAAAACAATTTTTCAGGATGTTGTAACCTAGGAAAAGGTTGCTGAATGAGAATAGCCAAAACGAAGGTTGGAAATGGAACGATAATATTTATAACAGGAACAACATACAAGATTCACCAGCAGCGTGTAGTTAGTAATCAACTGCTAGGGGTGAGTTTGAAGTGAATTGCAAGTGAAATCCCACAGTGAATCCAAATGACTACCACATACAGTATATTCTACTGTATTTATACAGATTGGGACATACGCATAGTCCATAGGTACAGTATAACACAGGAAAACAGGTTTCTCAAGTCCAACAACTGTTATCACTCTTTCCAGTATTGATGGGGGATTCCTTCCTAACCTTTTGTTTGAAGTGGTGTGGAATGTCAACAACTTGATTATATCATTATTTTCTCTTTGAGTTACATGTGCTATCCATTCTATTTATTGCTACTGTTGGTAGTCCTCAAGTGATGTTTCTGTTATTTAGTACAGTTCTTTCTTTTATGATTCTGTAGTATCAGTTTGCTATTCATTTATGGAAACTTTTCAAAGAAGTTACTCTCCATTTTTCTCCTTCAATGAGAAACCACTCCACTATTCATCCCAAAGGCATTTCCCAACTTACAAATATCACCAAATTAAAACAGGGTTTAGAAAACAAAATGAATTAAAATAGAAAGGTTTTATTACAATTCTAATCATTGCTTTTTAAAACAATAAACATTGCCAAGGGGTGGAAGTAGTTAAAATAATAGTGGCGTCATGGGAAAAAATGTCCTTTTGACAAAACTTTTTTTTTTTTTTGCTGACACAAAAAGTCCAAGTTTGCCCAAAAATGTATATGTGTTATAAGGAATAAAGTGTCACTGCCAACATTTTAGTTTGAACACAGATCGCCAGTGAGCAAACACAGGCGATCCCATTATTGAATTAAGTAGCCCTCATGACCATAGAAGAAATGCATATATGTAGGAAGTAGCTGATGATTAATGATCACCATTCCTAGTCTATCATCTATACTATATGAATCTGCATTTCTAATCTATCCTCTATTACTATTTGAATCACCATTTCTAGTCTATCCTCTATACTATATGGACCACCATTCTCTACTCTATTCACTATCTCTTCATACTATTTCTCTTCAGATCACTATATGGATTACTGTTTGAGCAAGTACTATTAGTGCAAGTGTTATTCGAAGGTATTTGACACCAGCATTATACAATGGTATACTATAGTTGTATCTACAATTACAAAGTCTATTTCGAGCACTACAAAAGTAACAGCGAGTATTTGTTGGCATTACAAAAGTGACAATGAGTGTTCGTTGACATCACCAAATTATGTATCACTTATTAGAATTTGTGCAACTATAATGCATATATTTATTACCCACCCAAGGCCTATAATTCAGTTGAAGTTTGCTATTGAAATCCAGATTATTATAAACTAAGAGAATCTTGAGCAAAAAGCTCTCAGAAAAACTGAAGCAAACTTGGCTCAATTTTTATGGAGAAAATTTCTAAAAGTCATCATACTTGAAATGGCCAGAACAAATAAGTAAACCTTCAGTCACTTTCCCAATCACTGAAATGTAGCATCCCTCTGCCTTTTCTTTTATGGTAATTGTCTTGATGAACTTTCCTCTTTGGTACCTCGACTTTGTAAATTTAAGTGCAGTATTTGATTAGAAACAAAATCTCATTTTACAGTTGAAATGGTTAGATGTAAGCATAAGTTTTATGCTAACAGTGTCTTCTATCACATTTCTTGTTTGTAGAACTTTCTTTTGACTTCTTGATTCCCAGTCAACTTTGACCTTCAAATATTTAAATGCAATGTAATCATTATCTTCTATCTTCTTAATTACCGTTCTTTTAATGTTCTCTCCTTAATAGTTTTCTTTTCTTTTTTCTTCATATTCTGTAACACTCAGTAACCCCTTGCATTTTAGTGGCTTTATTGCCTTGCTTGGGATGAAATGATTAAAAAAAAAAAAAAAAAAAAAAAAAACTTACTTTGCGTTGTTCATCATCGTAAAAGATCCATTCCTCTTTCTCCTGTTTTTCAAATGTGGGCCTTCTCGAGTACCTCTGGCTTGCTCGTCTCTCAAACTTTACACCCCGTCGAGCTCTATTAATGGAGGCTGTTTGGTATTCTGTATGTCCACTGGTTTGGAAAGAAAGAAAGAAAGAGTGTGAACAATTTGAGGCTAACAAAAATGTTTCAAGTTTTCTTTAAGACAAAACTTAAAAGATATTTAACAATGTTGAAAAAGAAATTAATTGAAAATAAAGTTTGATATTCACGCTTTACTTTGGACACAACTAAAGATTTTTATAAAAATCTGGGCAAACATGGATCTTCATGCCTTAAAAAAAAAAAAGCCTCAAAAGGACACCTAATAATACCTAAAACAATGGAAATGCTAATTCAATAGTTCAGCTGCAGGTAAGAACAAAAGACTGTTAAAAAGGGAAACATATCTTGGGATCAATTTTAAGATTATACCTGGTGGGCAAATTGATCCTAGTTTAAATTTTGCATAATAAAACAAAGCAGCATTAATCTTTGCCAAAAAAAGAAAAAAAAAAAAAAATTGGAAGTCACTTCTTTGAAATTGCATTGGCACCAGACTGTATGTAAACTCGTGCCCATCTTGAATTAGGTAAAAATAAAAAGGATTCTAAATATAAATTTTGGCAAATATAGTCCTTCATGCCAGCAAAAAAAACAAAAAAAAAACAAAAAAAAAAACAAAACATGGAGTGTCAAAAGGACACTTTTTGCCCACCTGACACCGCTTTTAACTACCTTCATTTTCTGGCAATGTTTATTGCTTTAAAACATGTAATAAAACCTAAACATATGAAACTGAATTTATAAATTTTTTTTTTTGTTCTTGAGAATTTACAACAAAAATATTCAACACTATTAATTAGGTTGATTATTTACAATAATAATTTTATATTTACAACCTTCTAAAAACAAATACAATTAAAATGAATGTAATTCAATATTTATCATTTGCCAATTTATAAAGAAATGAATATGAAAATTTTTTCTTCATAAATTTATAAATTATTACTTAAGTATTTAAATACTAAATTATTAAAATATATGAATAAACTATAAAGAATTCCTTATATACTATTTCATAAATTCAAATCTATTGGCAATTAGTCAATGTTTTGCCAAATATTCCAATAAACAAAGTAATAAATGGTGTAAATAAACAATTTTAATTAACTAACTTAATTATTGGTTAACTGAGGCAAGGAATGGCTTGTAAATTTTAAAATTTACATTACATCCACATGAAGTTAAAATGCTAAAATCCAGATCAACTTTTATGCCTTCTTGGGCTGACATTTTCTACTGACATGAATCAAAAAGATTATATTGAATCAATTGCTAGGTCTACTGCTAGGAAAGTTGGTTTATTGTGTCATGCCAGACAAGTTTTCTTCTCAGAATCCATCTTGCACATATAAATCTACCATTTGTCTGTGCACTGAATACTGCTGCCATATTTGGTCTGGTGCTCCTGCTGTTTATTTCGAGATTCTTGACAAAATTCAAAGGGTCTGTAATGTAATCAAATGTGACATTGCATCTCGACTTCAGTCACATTCTTACAGACATGATGTGGCTTCCCTCTATCTTTTCAACAAACATTTTCATGTCAACTGTTCTGATGAGCTTTTTTCTTAGTGTATGAATTTATGCAGGCTACTAAATTGGTGACTAGTAGTCACTATTTTACTGTTGAACCAGCTAGATGCAACAAGGTGTTCTATTCTAATAGTTTCTTTTCTCACCTGTGGAATTCGCTTCTGATTTCTTATTTCCTTGCCACCTACAACTGTCAAAAATTTAAATACATCATCAATTGCCATATTCTGTTTTCCTGAACTTGATTTCCTTTTTTTCATTCTCTTTCATTCCATGTAACCCTTCTGTGTCCTAGTAGCATTATCATCCTGCCTGGGGTGATTACAAGAGAAAAAAAAAAAAAAAAAAAAAGATTTGTTGGGACCTTTATAAGTCTATATCTGCTAAGGTGATTTTATATCTGAAAAAGATTTTAAGTAATTAATGGTATCTTAATTTGACATTATTTATTACTATAAACATGAGTCTTCTATATAATAAATATCACTGTGTCACACTTTTTCAATTTTACTCTAAGAGGCTGTAGGCCAACTCCGTGAGCAAATTAAAAACATTTAGAGTTGCATTGAGACATGCAATTCTGAAATTTTTTATTCTAAAGTTTTCATTACTGCAATTGTTTTTTTAACGTGAATTTTTGCAATAAATTTTTATGTATGATAATTTTTATAACTTGGAAATAAATTTTGGAATATTCAAAATTAATTATAAAATCCAGTGAAAGTCACACATGAAATAATAATTGTTTGTACAGAAATTAAGGACCTACGTACATCAAATTTTCTTTAAATTAAGAGACGGTAGAATTATATTGAACTTTTAAAAGGTAAGCTTATATATTAATGCAATACTTAAAAGCAGGGATCAGTTTTGAGTTCTTCTGTAGTTTATTGTTGCCTATCACATCTACTCCTCCCTACCTATTGTGATAAAGGCCCAATCAAGAGCCCTCTCCTTAAATTTTAAGCTAGTATATGAATAGTTTTAATGTTAGCGTAATTACAATCAAGAACATTTCCATAAGTGAAAGTATACTAACTAGTGAATTGCCATAATTGATCTTAACTCAATCTTAGATTGATCTGTTTTTTTTTTTTGAAAATATTGAGTACTTTTCAATCAGATCCTCATATTTTTGAAGTACAGACCCACTTTTTTTTTTATGAAGGATAGCAAGTCATCCATATCAACATTTTCAAATAAGTCCCTCATATTGTTTACGCTAAAGTGAACAAAATTGCCCCACACTGATTAGAAAAGGCTTCACTGCATATGGTACCCAATATACTGTACATTTTGTAACAAAGTGACTTGTTCATTTCAAGTCTTTTAGAGTCCTTGTTTCCATTTTCCTTGGTTGAATCTATAACTGTGAAAATCTTATTGAAGATCTTTTCCAATTGCAACTTACCTATATCGAAATCTGGAGCCCATTCTGAAGAAATTTTGGCGCGTAGAAGCACCTTTTACTGGACCCTTCAATCTGAAGAATGCATGATGCTCTACAGCACATTTCCACAAGTGCTTGCAAGCTTTCCTGTCTTGGAGTCGAAATAAGAATGTGTGTTCTTGCTCATGGCCCTAAAATAAAAGCATTTTAATAAACATTTTAAAAATTAAAAATGAATGGTTTCAAAATTTTTATGCTGCATTTAACATATGCAAAAACATCAGGGTATTTTGGGCAGGTTGATTAACATGTTTTCTTGTGCCATACCAGCTGTTTTATACAGACCGTAAAATGATTTTTTGGCTACTTTTGTTTAATGATATATCAGCCTTTATAGATTATTTAATGCTGATATCTAAACATTTTCTATGCAATTTTATTTTGGGATGATTTTAGTGATACAAGTCTTACTAATTAACCTATAGATTGAGAGAGAAGTGGTGGATTCATATCTTTTTCAAGGGTATTTGTGCATAAGTAAATATAACAAACCTGACTGGAATTGGAACTCAGCTCTCCAATTAGCAATTCTGACATTATCCATTATACCACCCGCACATCCAATCTGATATTCCCAAGTGGTCACCCATAATGACCAGTCTTGATGTGTCCATTTATATCTCTGGCTGGATTAGGTTAGTCTTGGTTTTGAAAAGAATGTTGTAATCTAAATTGTCTTCACTGCAATGTGGTGAAGAGGCCATTTAAGATGTAAGTGTATCATTAATCCTATCTATGATATCACTGTTTCCATAAATACTTTGTCTTTATATATTGTAAACCATGTGTTTTTTCTTGTTTGTAATGTAACTTTTGGTTGCATAAGAATTATCTCCCTTGAACTGATGACACTAAGTTATTTGTTATAAATAGTCAACTAATGAAAGGTGCTTATGAAGATAGCAGGTAAAAAAATGACCCCACGAAAGAGTACAAACAATTGTTGAAAAATATTTAAATTACGGCCTTTTTCAGTGTATTTTAATAACTTTTTTTTTTTTTCAGAATCTTAAAATAATTTATACACACACATATATATATATATATATATATATATATATATATATATATATATATATATATTATAGACATATTGAAAACCCAGCCATCCCTGTCTAGAAAAATAGATTTATCTGTAACCTTGGAAACATGAATTTTGTTTTAACTGTGTATTTAAAACCCAGTAATTTTAAAAAGTTACTCCAAAATTCGCTTGAGGGTGAAATGGAACTAATGTCTTTAATTTAATCACAAAATTAAATTGTGGCTTTTAGCTTCCATTTTTGAAACATGGTTAGAACTGTGTAGCGAAAAAAAAACATTTTAAATCAATTAATTTATAATATTATATATATATAAAGAAAAATATACGCAAAAAACAAACAAAAATCCTAATATGCAATTATGCTGTTTTAATGTTAATATAATGTCAACGTCGGATGTTTCGGTCTAGTAGACCATCTTCAGGACATATTCATAAAACATAATTAACATTAGACTATATTTAATTCAACATGAAAAGACGATGGACATAAGAGTATAGTCTAATGTTAATTATGTTTTATGAATATGTCCTGAAGATGGTCTACTAGACCAAAGCGTCCGACATTGACATTATATTAACATTAAAACAGCATAATTGCATATTAGGATTTTTGTTTGTTTTTCTGTATATTTTTCTTCATACTGTTGGTATGATTTTAATATTTGTTGATTTACTTTGTAATCAGAATGAATAAAAGGGTTTGGGTTATGCAACTCATGATAATCTACAATGCAATTTCATGGAAAAAATAACCCACTTGCAATGCATTTTCATAGTTAAAAAAAGAAAAAAAAAAAAAACATCCACTGCAATGCATTTTCATGGTTGAAAAAGAAAAAAAAATAATAGAAAAAAAGGAAAATCATTTTTATAGTAAACTAATTCCCAATGAATTTTTATGTATGCCTTTATTATTTGTCATATGTAATCATTACAGTGAAATGTTTTTCAATGACATTATAAAAAGAAAATTACCTGATCATCATCTTCAACAACAACAAGGATAAGTTTTTTATTTCTGAAATTTAAGGAAGTGATTTTGGGCCTGAAAAAAAAGAAAAAGAAAAGAAATGAGCCTCTATATTAATGTTTAGCACTGTGCATTATTAATATTACTTCCCTTTCCACTGCTTTCTTTTTCAAGGTCTCTCAGTTACAATATCCTTATTGTTAATTTCACTCAAAGGTGTTTTCTGTTGCCATAGCAGGGTATGACAGCACAATTATGAAATTCAAAGAAATTCAAATTCAGGGATCAGAGTCACCTTCAGTGAAAGGATAAACATTTTTTCACAGCAAATGAAGTCATATACAGAGTGACCAAGGTTAAATAAAAACATTGCAGATTTATTAGTATAAGAGATAAATTTATTTTAAAGTTAAAATTTGTTGCAGTTTTATCAAAATCTTTGACTATATCATTTATTCAACATCAATAATGAAACAAAAATAAACCAACATCAGGGAAATCTTAGAAGCATTTTTGATTAAACATCAGCTTTATTACTTGTGCTAAACTGTATTTACACTATTTACAATGTTTGGACTGTTGTCCTCATATTCCTGACATTTCAGCCATTATACACTCTGGCCTTCTTCAGATGATATTAGTTGGAATTTTGAACCAAACTCTTAATTAAGTTCACTTGGGTTGATTGTTCTAGTTCTACATGCCATGCCTTTTCTGAATATGTCAGTTTCAGTTATTTCCCTTCATTAACTCTCAAACTTTTTGTTCACGTATTGAACTTACAACTCTGGGTAAAGTCACTGGATTAATTCAACCAACGCTTTTATCCACTGGTCCATGTGTCATTGGGCAAATTCTAATTCTAATATATATATCACCAGAGCATACAATAGCTGAAACATTGTGAATATGACAAAGATGAGGACAATAATCTGAACAATGCAAATAGTGTAAATATTTACAATACCTCATCTCAGAAATATAGACAAGTACTAAACTGTAGTATATCATTTACAAATGTTTCTGAAAAAAAAAAAAAAAATCAGAAGCAAGGAAAAATGTTTTGAGTGTCTAAAAATGATCACAACAGGTGGATTCTTCTATAATAGTATTAATAAAAAATATAACAGGATTATTTATGTATGAATCATACTTATTATAAAACCCAAGTTGTGTGTGTGTGTGTGTGTGTCTGTTCGTTTATATATTGGATCGGATTTCCTACATTTTTCAACCGATTTCAACAAAACTTCACAGGACTACATAAAATTACCTTGTGGTCGTTCTAACAGTGCCAAAAATGGGAAAAATATAATTGTTTTTGCACAAAATCAATTTGAAAACACAATTAAGAGACATCGTGAAAATGGAAGGGGGACAACTCACATCGGATTTCCTACATTTTTTTTTGCACAAAATCAATTTGAAAATACGATTAAGAGGCATCACTGTCGCCAGAATAAAAGGGGGACAACTTATTATAAAACCCAGGTTGTTTGTGTGTGTGTGTGTGTGTGTGTGTGTGTGCATATTCGTTTATATATGGGATCGGATTTCCTACATTTTTCAACTGATTTCAACAAAACTTCACTTTTTTTTTGGCAGGTAGTGTTCCTTGTCATGCACACTTTTTTCTTTATTTTTACATTCAGAATGCTTTAAAAATTCCATTTACAAGACAATTGTTTATAATAAAATTCTATTCAATCGGTAGACTCATAACGATTGAAAACAATGTTTTTGTTTGAGTTTGACCAATTCGTAAAAAAAAGAAAAAAAAAACTAATTAAGACATGCGTGTCCGTCAACCTTAAAAAATAAAATAATCCTTGTCAATTTTATTTTTCAGTCTTTATGATGGTCGATACTTGATCTATCTCTTACTGTTATATCCCCGGGCAACACTGGGCTCTACTGCTAGTTATTACTAAGGTGAGAATATTTTTCCTAAGATCAGAATATCTGTGCACTTTGAGAAAATTCTAACATATACATTGTGTTTTCAATACAATGTGGATAGATATTCATGGCACTGAAAGTAAACAGATACAACACTCTGATCTTAGACAAATTGCTGATCCATGTATAAATAATCTTACTGTTTATTATTACATAAAAAGTGATTTTCTATATTTTGTAATATAGAAAATCAGTGTGGTCCAAATGTTTTATTTGAAGCCAATGAGAAAAATAATAATTTCAAATGAATAAATTTTGTATTATTGTTTTTCCATGTAAAGTTATGACTATAAATTGTTCTAATTTTATATCCTTTCCTTAAGGTTATCAGCCAGCTATTTTTATCTAAGAGAAACTGTTCCAAAGTGATCACAATAAGTGACTTCTGTAATAATAAATGGTAGGATTATTTATGGATGGATCAGCAGTTTGTCTAAGATCAGAGTGTTGTATCTGTTCACTTTGTGAAAATAGTTACACCTACATACAAAATATATATATATATATATATATATATATGAACACCCATTGTGTTTTATATACAATGTGGATAGATATTTTGACACACAGATCTCTCTGGATGTGTGGGTAGTGGAACAGTTATCAATGCAGAAAGTGGATTTGGCAAGCTGCGTTCAAATTCCTGTCTAGCCTACTGTGTCTACTTTTGCACAAATGCTTTTGGCAAAGGCATGAATCCATCTCATTTTCTTATGTCGGAGACAAATAGCAAAGAAGACTGGCCACTCTAGGAGTCAGTGTCAGAGGACAATTCTTAACCCCTTTCCTGCCAATTATCTTGGGAAAAACATTTCATTTTTTGACAATTTTTTTTTTGTTTTTAATATAGTAACTAAGAAACTGAGGCATCCTGAAGTAGCCAAGTGGTGGCTAACACCTCTACCAGGCATATGAATTGACAATTGAATTCATTTCAAGCTCAGAAGGAAATAAAAAGAATCAAGATCATTGCATGAACACATCTGTAGCTGGTTTTTGGACGTGTTTATTCATTCATGCCTGAAAAAGACACTTTTGGTAAAAATGTACATATGTCTACACCAGGGAAGGGGTTAAATCAGAGAAAGCAAAGGGGAAACTACTTCACTATCTTTCCTGAGAAGGCAATAAAGAAACTACTCCACTTATCTTTCCTATGAAGGCAATTCAAAGATAAAGAAAGAGGACTATATGAAGAGCCATGGTCACATATCTTGAAGGGACATGGTATCTAGAAAAACAAATCCTTATTTCTTTCCCTGACATAAACATGTATATAACATGTTTTACTGAAAGTGTCTTTTTCAGACATCGGCAAATAAACACATCCAAAACATAACATTCAAAAACCAGCAACAGATGTGTTTATATGTTGATCTTGATTCTTTTTATGCCATTCTAAGCTTGCAACAAGTCCAATTGTGAACTCATTCATCTGGTAGAGGTGTTAGCCACCTCTTGAGTACTTCAAGGTACCTCAGTTTCTTAGTTACTATATTAAAAAAAATAAAAAAGTTTGTCTGAAACCTGAAATGTTTTTCCCCAAAATAATTGGCTGGGAAGAGGTTAAGTTATAAAATATGAAGGAATGGATTTCTTTTTATTATAATTATGAGTATTGTCATTGAATAGTAATTGTTATCAAAATCAATTAAGTTCAAACATTTTAATTAAAACTGTTCTAATCTCATTGAGAATGATCCCCTCCCCAAATTTATAGACAAATCCTACAGATGCATGTTGGGATTTCATTTCAGTAAAAAATGGACAATTCTCAGTCAACCTCCATATTTGTTCTTTCTCATCTTGAAATCAGAACACTATAACCACTTGACTATATAAATTTTGCATCTGAACACAAAAATTATTCATAATTTGGAAAATTCAACCATTAAAATTAACCAACACAAAATGTAATCTCTATCTATAAAAGGCAGGATGTGTGTGTGTGTGTGTGTGTGTGTGTGTGTGTGTGTGTGTGTGTGTGTGTGTGTAATGCACGGCCACAATTTTCGACAGATTTGCACCAAAATTTACATGCACATGCTCCAAGTTAGTAGGAAGGCCAAGACTGACTTTGCATTTCCTAACTCCCATTGATAGTGGAAATAATCAATTTTTCATGCTTCTACAGCAGTTTTCATGTAGTTTGCAACCATTTTCTACTGGCCAGAGTGAGAGCCAATAGCTGGCTACCACGAATAGGCAGGAAGATTCTATTGGCCAGCATGAGAGCCAACAGCTGACTGACATGAATGTTAACTAGCATGATAGCATGCAAAATCGATAGCTGCATTCGTCACAAGTGGGAAAAATTTAAATCTGTATGGCACTTTACTCCAATTGGCTCATTCGCTTGCTTAAACTCAATGTTGATTCTGATTCCGCAGAACTGGGTTGGGTGTGAAAAAGTATTTGTTAACATTCTTTTTTCATTCAGTTTTTCCAGTTACGAGTTCTTTGTTAAAGCTGATCGTTTTGTGTTCATTTTGTTTAGTTCTTTTTTCGTATCAGATTTAATGTTTAGTATAGAGCTTAGAAAAAATTTGCAGTGTGAGATAGGCAAGAAGTAAGGCATGTAGCAACATCAGCACGGCAAAGGGCACTCCTTTAAAGGCAAGGAAGGGCAAAAATAATTTAAGTCAAGTGATAGCGATTGCTGTATGAGTCGTACGATTTTTGAATCAAGCACAGGCAATGCTGGGCCATGTTGCTAGGTTTTAATAATATTTGCCTTAAAGAACATTTATTGACTAAATACACAGAATTCTTACTTTAGCAGCTTTTTGCCTTATTACTGTTGCCTTGCCTAGTTTTGACTTGCATATATATTGTTTGCTTAGTGTTATTTTGCCATGTTCTTTTTCTTCTTTTTCTTATTGTTAATTGAGAAACTTGTATATTCTGTTTGTTGAGAATTTTGCCAATTACACTTGACCATGGCCAATTAATCCTCAAAAGTGAAAAAAAAAAAAAAAATAAATAAATAAAAAATAATTTCAGATCAATAAATTTCATTAATTTTGTTTTATGATGTAAATTTATTTATAAACAATGGCTTTAATATCAGTGAATGTCAACTGTTCCATTTTTTTCAGTCCATGGTTATTTTTTATCTGAAAGTAATCACAGTAACTGAACCTCCTGTATGAAGTAATAAAATTAAAGATCATATTACGCAGTGTTTATTAGATTGATAAGAAGCAGTGGACCAAATGTTGACGATGAAGATGAAATGAAGCCAGCAATAAATCTCCTTGTCAAACAACAATGTAAATAGGTTTTTAAATTTGTTATTTCTCCTTCCTTACATTTATGATGAGTGTACAAAAGTTTCAAGCATTTTTTGAAAGAAGGCTCTGTGAACTTTTGCACACAGTGAATAAATGTTTTCTATATAAGCAGTATCTTGAAAAATTATCCACTGATTCTGAAATTAATTTATATGGATATCTTATCTAATCTTGTTGGATTAATGGATAGCAGCCTGGATTAAGGGATTAGAAACCCGAGTTCAAATTCCAGCTGAGTTTGTTACAGTCACTTACGTCCAAATATCCTTGGGAAAGGTATAAATCCATTTCTCCTCCCACCAGCTATGAGTAAATAGCAAGACAGACTTGGTCCTATAGCCTTGGATGGCAACTGGTCTAGGAGAAGGAAAACTCTGAATTTGAAACTTCAGACAGTGGATTAAGTAGCTTCACCAATTTGTAACTGGCTAAGCATAGTGAATACGGCTACACTTCTAAAGTTATGGTCAATCATGGAGCGGTTCCTCCAAGGAGTGAAAGAGCCATGTATCTGGATCTAGTCTAACAAGCTTTCAACCTTTCTTCTTATCTAAGCGCACCACACACTCCCCACTACCAGAAAAAAATTCTAATCAAAAAAGAAGTTTTAAATTTTAATAAGTTTGTAATTTTAAAACTTTTCAATTATGTGATAAGAAACCTCACCGACCCAGCTTAGATGAAATACAGACTCACTAAGAGTCTAACTTACAAAGCAGATTACACTTGTGTAAAAACCTCCAAAAAAGAGTTAAGATGAGTTATGACCCTTGACCAAAAGATGAGTTTGGTTGTATGCCATTGCTACAAAGTCATAAAAACAGCCTCATCCATTTAGTTGTATACACCAATGATTCTGGAATCTACAGCCTGTCGTTTTGCAGAAGGCATCTGAGGTCCTTTAGAATAAGTTATCATCTATTTGACCAGAAGAATGGAAATACTAATATTTCAAACTAAACTTTGGTATCCTTTCCACTGACAATTAGTTTATACATTTGAATCATACTAATTTTACAAAAAGGAACAAACCCAAGATGCTTAAATATTGAGAATAAAAACTATTTTTATACTGATAATGCTATTTAAAAGAAACAAAAAAAAACACAATCACAGTCTATATACTTGTAAAATCAATCATTTAAACATATTCAATAGAATGGATAGGGAATATGTTAAGCTTTTGGGCAAGTTTCCCTTGGTGTCAAACAAGTTGGTTGATGCCAAGTGGAAACTCATAAAGGAACTTGTTGAAATTATGTTTGAGTATTTTTAACCATTGTTGGTTGTTTTCAAGAAATAGGAGAAAGCTGAGAAATAATGAATATAGAATTTATTTTTAATGGTGTATAATCCGATGTGAAAGTGGATTCAACAAACTATGACTGTAGAATAGATGTCAGCATCACATGGCCAAAATGACCTTGTAAATATGGGAGAGGGAGAAAGAAAGAGAGGGAGAGAAAGAGAGGGAGGGAGGGAGAGAAAGAGAGGGAGGGAGGAGAGAGAGAAAGAGAGGAGGGAGGGGAGGGAGGGAGGGAGAGAGGGGAGGAGGGAGGGAGGGAGGGAGAGGAGGGGAGGAGGAGGGGAGAGAGGGAGAGAGAGAGAAAGAGGGAGGGAGAGAGAGAGAAAGAAAGAGAGGGAGGGAGAGAGAGAGAAAAAAAAAGAGAGGGAGAGAGAAAGAAAAGAGGGAGGGAGAGAGAGAGAGAGAGAAAGAAAGAGAGGGAGGGAGAGAGAGAGAGAGAAAGAGAGGGAGGGACAGAGAGAGAAAGAGGGGGACAGAGAGAGAAACTAACCAGAAAAATAATCCAATTTTCTCCTTGTTTTCAAATACCAAGATTCCTGTTGGCGTCAATCCCAAGCTGTAGATGGAACCATCACGTCCCTGAAAGAATTTGATTTAAAACAAGATAAATACAAAAATAAATGCATTGTCAAAAGCGGACACAGAAAGTTGTTTCAGTTTTAATTCTGGTAAATAGTAAATGGTTCCATGTTTCACACTTCAACATTTTCAATTGGCACTATTCCATTTGTTAAAAGCATGGTAAGCAATGAAACATTCTAAGCAAACCTTATTTGATTTTATAACTTATTGACTTCATGTTTTTTTTATTGGGGGGGTATTTTGGAAAGGGAGGTGTATATCAGAGAAGATAAACAGTAACTGCCAAATAAGCAATTTCTATAACATTGGAAATAAAATGATTACGTGTTTAAATGGAAGGCATAATTTTGGCACGATTCATCATTTTCAATAGTGACAATGCTTAGAATATTTTACTGTTACTATTGGCAAGATAGTTATGGGAGAGTGGTTTGCCAAAGAGCTCATTCATCTACTCAAATATTGTGGTGTAGTGATATTGTGATCTCAAGAAATAAAAAAAAAAATAATTCTCATGATTCCATAGAAAAAAGGAAACCACACTACTGGCAGGAAATTTAGTGAGTTTCTCCTTTTCTCATTGGCCCCCTCACAAAGAGATCACATAGATTTGAGCTGCTCCAGGAATGAAGACCATAGATAAGATTTGCACAAATATCACTTTCTCATGTTTAATATTACCCTTTTAACGATAGAATTATCACTTGCAAATAATTTATTTATTCACCAAGAGAAACACTAAAATCAGAAACATTTACTAACAACCACAATACAAGAACTTTCATATATCTACCGAATTAGTACAACCAAATCCTTCTAATAATAAATCCTTATATATATATATATATATATATATATATATATATATAAACTTTTTTGTGATGATGTATATATTTTACTAAGCAAAAACAGGAATCAAACAAGGCCCATCATAACAGTGGCATGCCAGCAAGAAATTGAAATTTTTGTCAAAACATCTGGCAATGAGACAATGTAAGGAAGAGCAAATTGATGTCTTTATTAACAACATTAGGGTCAAAAGAGTATAAGCAACCAAAGGCAAAATTTGAACCCTAATTTGCTATTTTGATTAGGCTGAGTCATAAGTAATTCCCATTTTGGGGAACCAATTGTAATGATGAATGTATCATCCTAACTACTAGTCATACATAGCAGTTAAGAATAAATTTGGAGTACACTGACATACAACAAAGTTCATTGTAGTGAATTGACAAGGATTAATCTACACAACTGAACTCAAAAAGCTGAGCTACATGGAAGAAATGTAATGTTGAGAATGTGGTGCGATCATCAGAATATTATTCATTTAGAATTTTTAAAATGCAATGAAGTATTAAATGCACATTATGCATTCAGCAGCTGCAACATGTCCATAAAAGTTTGTTTTTGTCAAGTTTGGCATCTTTTTCATCAGACTATGCTTTTTTTTTTTTTTTTTAGCAATCTCATGAAGGTACCTAGTTTAATGTTTAGCATGCTTGTCTCACTAGAACAATTACAACTGAGTGGCGAGTTCAATCCTCAGTGAGTGCCTCATACTTTTGATATTGTGCCACATCTAAGTTACTTAGAAAATCACCATACACCAAGGAGGATAAATTTGGTATTACTTGAAATCAATTTACTTTCACATAAAAATCAACTTGTAATACTTGATTTTTCAATGTTTTTTTTGAGATAATTTAATTGCACTAACATCACAATCAGATTTGTCAACAATTCAGTCAGGACTTTAGGGAAATTTAACAATTGAAATCTTTTAAGGGCTATGTTGTAACTGAGGGAAGGTTATTGAATAGAATAATCAAATGAATGTCGGTAATGAACAATAATACTTAGGACAAGAAGATGACATATAAGATTCACCAGCAGTGTGTAGAAATAGTCAAATGCTAGAAGTGAGTCAAGTGAATTCCACAATGGATCTCCAACTGCAGACCAACATACAGTATTTACTACTGTATTTATGTGAATGGGGACATACCCATTATTGTCTGTAGGTATGCTACAACATGCTCATAGGGTAAAAAATTAAAACTATGTGAATTGGATAAATGAAATGATGATTAAACAAAGAACAAATTGAAGAACTTTATAAATCTAACGTATTTCACTATTTATTCAGCTTCATCAAAAATTTTAGAAATCAAATAATGAATTGTTTTTTTTTTTAACTGTTTTCTTTTTATTGCTTGGGTAGATGTGTTCATTTTATGGCATGTGTTATATGTAAATACTCTTGGGAAAAGTATTTATAATTTGCAATGTTAATTTGTGAACTGAAAAAATATTTAAAATTGAATGAAAATGTATTATTATCTTCCTAATGAATACATTTACTTTTGCATGATACACAAGTACATCTGGTTGCATATTGCTGCAAATACTGATGTGGGTATCAATTTGATAAGGAACTATGAAGCAGAAAAAAAATAGCCAGTGTTGTTAAGAATGATGCTATTGTATAACCTTGATATACATAAGAATTATTTGGCAATCTTTAACTTTTGTGCATGCAATAAAACAGTGTGTCAAAAGGACATTTTTTTTCACTTGACACTGCTATTATTTTAACTACCTTCACTCCCTTAGCAATGTTTGTTGTTTTAAAAAGTGATAATTAAAATTTTAATAAAACCCAAACACATGAAAGTGAATTTTATACGTTTTCTTTGTTGTTTGAGAATCTACAACAAAAATATTAAACACTATTAGATTGTTTATTTATAAAAATAATTTTATATTTACAACATTCTCAAAATGCGAACAAACTAATACAATGAAATGCTTATTATTTACACTATTTATATTGTTCAGACTTATCCTCATCTTCACAGTGTGAATTCAGCCAATGATGTGATTCAACCAACAGTTACTTGTAATCTATTTACATGTTCATGTTTCACAGACATTTTTTTTTTATAAATTTATGAATAAAAAAATTATTTAATTTTAATTTGATAAATAATAAACATTTCTGTCTATGTTTCTGAGATGAGGTATTGTAATTATTTACACTAATTACATTGTTATGTATGACCCAGTGGCTAAAAGTGTTGATTGAATCCAATGACTTGACCCAAAATGTTGTGAGTTCAATACCTGGTCACAGCAGAGGTGAATAAAAACTTGGAGAGTTAAAGGGAGATAACTTATACTGAGGCACCGCACATGGAACTAGAACAATACAATCTACCCTCGTGGATAAAATAAAGAGTTTGATTTGAAATTCCAATCACCTGAAGAAAGCCGAAGCAGACAATGGCGAAAACATCGTGAAGATGAGGACAACAGTCCAAACAATGTAATTGTGCAAATAATTACAACAGCTCATCTCAGAAATATAGACAGAAATGTTTATTATTTATCAAATTAAAAAGAAATAAATTTTCTTATTTATAAAAAAATGTCTGTCAAACATGAAATTTAAATAAACAGAGTAACTGTAGTATCTGTGTATATTTCTGAGATGAGGTATTATATACACTATTTACATTATTCGGACTATTGTCCTCATCTTTGTTGCCATATTTATCACAACGTTTCAGCCATTGTATGCTCCGGCCTTCTTCAGATGGTTGGAATGCCAAACTGAACCCTTTATTTTGCTCACTGGGGTAGACTATTCTAGTTCCACATGCCATGTTTAATAGATGTCAGTTATCGGTTATCTCCTGTTAATTCCCCTCTTTAAGTTCTCCACTGTCTTAATCAGTATTGAACTCATAACACTTTGGGTCCTGTCACTGGATCTAACTAACGCCTTTATCCACTGTGCCATGTGTCCTATGAGGACAATAGTCCGAATAATGTAAAGAGAGTAACTATAATTATGAATTTTGAAAAAAATGTATTTTCTGAGCATTTCTTTCATGCAGCAATTGATTCATATTTTTATAAAATTATGAATAAAAAATTGGTTTTCATAGTAATTTATAAAATGGTAAATAATAAATATCACATTGTACTTGGTTCACATATTTTTATAATCTTGTAAATAAACTTTCCTGGGGGAGTAAAGGTAGTACAAAATAATAACAGTGTCAAGAGAAAAAAAACAAACAAAAAAAAAAAACAGTCTCTTTTACACACTGTTTTTTTTTTTGTGGGCACAAAATTAAAGTTTGCCCATTATTCTTAATTTAATAAATTTACCTAAATAGTCTTATGTAGCAATTTCTAATGGTAATGAAAACAAAAACATAGATAGCATTATATAAGGGCTCAAATATCCTAGCTAGCAGTGAATGCATAAACAAATAATTTTTTTTTTTTTTTTTTAACTAAAAGCATAGTTTTATATAGCAACTTTCGATGATAATTAACAAAAACCTTAATATTATATAAGGTTCAAATATTCAAAGTAGCAGTAAATGTGTTAATAGATTATTTGAGTAACTGCAAACAAGGAGTGGTGGTGGTGATAAATTTGAGGATAAATGAAAAGGAAAAAAGAAAAAGATACTCACAATCACAGTATGCATATCAACGCCATACATCTCTAACCACTTGGCTTTATTTAAGTAATGAAGCTCTGCCTGGGCAGGAGTATAACCACTGCAAAAATTTTATCCAAAATATAAAAAATTAAATACAATTTTTTTTTTTTTTTTAAATTTAAGCAGTCAATAAATGAGTGTATATTGTCTATATAGCATTACTTCATTACTGAATTATAATTTCAGGTCATAATTTGTTTGAAAGAAGTGCTTGAGAGTGAAAAGTTTAAAAAAATAAAACAAGTGTTCAACAGTACACCTTATAGGCATGGTACCATGAAATAAGTGGGTAGGGGCTAATACTTTCTAAAAGTTTTGTATGTGATGAGATACATTGAAAATATTTTTAAGTTCCTCCAATTATATATATATATATATATATAAAAATGGACTAAGTTTGACTATTATTTTAATATATTTTCTGTTCTATACGTTATTTTTTATAGATACAAATATTTAAAAACAGTCATTTAACTTTGCTAACATGACACTTCCTCTGTAGCTAAATGGTATAGCATGTCAGGCTATATGATGGTTCAGTGTAGGATACAAATTCCTGTCAGAGGACACATATTTTCTAAGAAATTTCTCAGATATTCAACACCAGTAAATGTAGTTAATACTGTTTATTATAAAGAGAGCATTTACTTAAATATTTGTATCTAGAAAAATAATGTATAAAAAAAAAAAAAAAAAAAAAAAAATTATATATATTGTTGATTGCACCCTGAACTACTGCCAGTCCCAATGAATGGATGTCTCCTTGGAGAGGCACCATGCATTGAGAGACTATTGGGATTTAATCTCACACCTGATCTCAAGTGGAACCCATACATACAAATCATCGCTAAAGATGTAGGTAAAATTGTCAGCTCCCTGTACTGCTTCAGTAAGTACATGACTCTTTGTGTTATACGATCTTTACAAAGATAGAGTAAAGCACAAAGAGTCATGTACATACTACTAAATTTTAGGTCTCCAGTTTCCCTCTTAAGGAAAAGGTCATCTATTTCAAATACAAGTATCCCCTATAATAATTGTTTGCAGTAATAAAATGTCAAATAAAAAATATATATATATATATATATATATATATATATATAATTGTCGGACTTTGTCCATTTCATAATGTGTGATGTCATATATATATATATATATATATATAGGGAAAGATATGATGTAATGGAAAAAGTTTTTGGCATCACACAGACAATGTAGGATATTTAATAACAAAAGTGATTGAAATAATAAAAAATCTAAATGAAATCGGCTAGACTATATACCCCCCCCCAAAAAAAAACTGAAGATAATGTTAAAAAAGAAATTTAAATTTTTATGATTTATTTTGAAAATTAATGGTAGTAATGTATTTTAGACAAGTGATACAGCTCAGTTTAATAGTGTTATCATAGATAATTTACTTATCTGTTTAGTTCTCAGTTCCACCAAAAGTGGAGAGAGTATCAGACAATAGTGCCATTAATATCATATTGGTGGGACATATGTTCCAACACCACAGTACTAGAAACCACTGATACTAATGAAATATATATAAGAGTGGATATAAGCCAAATAATTAGATATTAGTGACTGTGTGTATGCGCATTAGCGTGTATACATAGATAAGTGTATAAATATTTGCTTATTAGAAGGTGTAAACAAAACAATACACAATGTAGTTAGACACAACTAAGGAGTATATATTAATAAATATACATATACCTACATTTGTAGTGCAACTTAAAGTTACATGGTTTTCCCAAGTCATCAGGCATGAACTGGTGAATGAAATACTTATAGTTGTTTTTTAAAAACATAGGTAGGTATATATATATATATATATATATATATATATATATATATATATATACACACACTATACAAAGAATAAAATTCTAATGTAATGTATAAAGCCTTGTGCTTTCTGGCATCAGAGATGCAATTTTTTTCCTTTCATTCTTCAAAATAAGTTAAAAAAATTTACTGCATTCTTACAAGACTAGGATAATCTTTTTTTTTTTAGTTTTTTTCAAAAGACAAATTTGGATAATTTTTTTTTTTTTTTTTGAATCAAGGAAATACAGTAAGCACGGTAAGTGAATAAAATTGATATCAAATAATATAGAAAAATTATAGGTATATACTATAATAAAGAGGGATGTGCAGGTGGTGCAATTGATGAGAAAAGAATGAGAAATCGGAGAGCTGAGTTCGAATTCCAGTCAGATCCATTACATTCATTTATGCACTATTACCCTTGGGAAAAAGAGTTTATGGTTGCATCACATTGAAACACTGGTTCTCATATGATTACCAAAGTTAAGCAACATCTAGCCTGGCCAGTACCCAGATGGGTTACCACTTGGGAATACCAGGTGCTCTAAGTTTGGATGTGCAGGTAGTATAATAGACAATGGCTCAGAATTGTTAACCAGAGAGCTGAGTTCCAATTCTTTTTGGGTTAGTTATATTTACTTATGCACAAATACCCTTGGGAAATGTATGAATCCACCACTTCTCCTCCCCAACTATGGATTAATTAGTAAGACATATCACTAAACCAATATTATCTCCCAAAAAATTCTTACAATCTTAAAAAAAAATTCTGGCTTTAAATAACCTGTAAAGTGTTGAGATAAGCCATAGAAAACAAATTAATCAACTTTGGGAAAGGTATGAATCCATCTCTTCTCCCACCAGCTATGGATCAAATAGCAGGACAGACTGGGTCCTATAGCATTGATTGGTAACCAATCTACTGCAGAAAGAAACAGCAACCTCATGTGCATAAAATCTTCTACCTAGTCAGTTATGAATCGAAAGAGACATGATCACCCAAGCATTATGTTACGTGTGATAGCAGAATTATTCTTACCTCAATTTCTTTTCATTAAAAGAACATTCACTTTTAATTAAATGAAGCACTTTATATCTTCTCTTTGGCGTATGTAAATTGTCTGAATTATTATTATTATGCTTAAGAATCATTAAGTAAATCATTAAGTAAATCATCTCGAGGTCCTTGCTAAAATCCAGAGATGGATTTGCAATGTGATTGGTCTTTATCTGACATCCCATCTATAGTTGCTATATCAGACGTGCTGCAGCTTCCCTCTGTCTTTTCTACAAGTAATTTCATGGCAACTGCTCCAACGAGCTACTTTCACTGGTTCCCAAACTGCATGAATTTAAGCGTGCTACTATGTTGGCATCTTGGTTCTACCCTTTCACTGTCAAAACGGCTAAATATTGCCATCTCTTCTACTCCAACAGCTTCTCGTCTTACAACTCCTGTCAGTGAAACTCCCTATCACTTGCTTTCCTGATAGCTATAATTTTCAAATATTCAAATGTAATGTCAATTGACATCTTCTGATGCCTTGATCTTGATCCCTGTCCTTCTCTTTATCAAATTCCCAAACACTCCTCTTTACTCTTATTCTCACTCTCTGTAACACTGTGTGTTAGTGGAACTCCTGCCTTGCCTGGGGTGATTTGCTTAAAAAAAAAAAAAAAATTTGTTGATTTCTGGAGTTGACCATGGCTAACTGAAACTGAGGAAAACCAAACAGGAGATATAGTCTTCTTTCTTTCTTTTTACGTACCTTAATTTTTGATATTGCTTATAGATTGCAAGCTCCATTTCTTCAGTTTGGTTTGGTACAAAACGAAATTCTGATATGAAACCAGGAGTGTGCACTTCAGGATCAAAATCACCAAGTTCCGCTGAAAATAATGAATAATAACAGAGAGATAATAAACTACTGTTAATATTGTAGCCCACATCTATGAACCCATTAAACTCACTTGTAACACACAGAAACAAAAGAGGCCATAATTTTGATTTCATATATGCCACCCTAGTTGGAAAAGAACATAATGAATTATGTAGGAAATAATTAGAGGGAATTCTAAATATTTTACAATCTATAAACACATTTGAAACACACTTGGCAACTTTTATAAAATCCATACTTAAAGAATCTAAGATATGTTTACCTACAACCACAACCAGTGTAACTTAAATTCTTTTATTCTCACACAAAACATTCCCAAATTAACATACAATCATGGATGAAAATGCCTGCTAGATGCTCAAACACACACACACGCATACACACATTATCATCCAAATCCTACACAGGAAAACTAGTAGTATGCCACACATGAATTACACATACAAACACTACTTGACAGGACAGATGCATGTGAGGTCTGCTTAACAAACAATGCAAAAATAACAAATAAAAACAAACAATACAAAAATAAAAATACCAGAATTTTCTTTTCTCCTCCATATTTCATTTCTGCTGCAATGGGAACAATCAGTTTCTCCCTTGTTGACTTTCTCCAATAACAGTTGATCTCTTTCATAATTTGGCTGTTTGGAGAGGGTAGTGAGACAATACAGGTGGTACTGTTGTGAAAATTTGCATAGGGGTTGTGGTACTGATTTGCATGGAAGCAATAATTCTTGGTTGTTAGTTAATCACAGTTGATCTCTGATTGGAGTCAAGTATACTTAAAATTGGCCTTTTTGAAGTGAAGAGCATTCTTTTTCTCTCAGCTCTGCTGTCAAGTGTGAAGAACAACAGCTTGGCTGTTTATATCATCTGTGAATATGTTTTCTCTTGTTCTTTACTTACATATTTAGAAAATGTCTGCTCAAACCAAATTAGATTGACCTGTTTGTTTCAATATCTTACATGATTGTGATATGCGCTGCTATTTTTATCGAGAATGAAGTCAAACTTTTTGTTGTTATTTTTTTTTAAAACTTTACTTACATTCCAAGTTTGAATCCCCTGCCCACTGGTTAAAAATAAAAACCAAACAATTTACTTACATGCAAGAGCCAGTGCTGCCAACTCAACCACAGTGTCAAATGGACATTCCAGCTTACCATTGTAAATGTCTGTTTTCAATTGTAGAAAGAACATATATCTGCAAAAGTAATCAAATAGAATTGTTGTTTTTTAATCTACTTGACCAAGTTAATTTACGAAGCTGATTTTCAAATATTTAAAACATTTTTAAGGCGTTAATAACATTCTTAGCAAATAAGCACATGCTAAAACACAATTGAATTACTGAAGCAATATTATACAGATTTATGGTCTAAATTTTATCAGTAACAATGTTTTTTTGTTTTCTTAAAAGTAATCCAATATATTTCAAGTTGATTTTCACTCCTGTGCTAAGCAAGGAAAGAAAAAGCTAACCTATAATTTTACCAACATTATTTTTTTTAAAGTGTAAGTGTGTATTTTTTTATTTAACTACAGACCATGGAGTTAAAACTATTTAAGTTGATATATAACATGCTGTTCAAATTTCAGAAATCAAAGATTAGATTTAAGAAAAATAAATAAATAAAAATAATTCAATAGTAATTTTGTAAACTACATTGAAATATGGGGCCAGGAGGATAGCAAACTTTGTGTGTGTGTGTGGGGGGGAGTGAGAGAGTCTCATACATGATTTTTTATATATATATATATATATATACACACACACACACACACACACTAGGAGTTGTTGTAAAGCTCTTGAACCAACCTGCTTCTCAAAATCTCACTAAACAGTAATTTCTTTTTTTTAAATCCTGTCTTTGTATGTACATACACTTCTGTCCAGAAAGTATCCACCTATTTATTTAAAAAAAAAAAAAAAAAATTGAAGCCAATGGATCCTTAATCCTCTTCAAAGTATTCCTCTTGGGACATCACACAATTATAACACCATTACTTCTGCTTTTCAAAACAGTCCTTAAAGTCTACTTTTGCGATCATTATCAGCTGCCTCATTGCAGTCTCACTATGGTGTTTCAATGCTAATTGTAGCTTTAGCCAAAGCCAGACATCTTAGGAACCTGATATAAACTGTAGGAGGCTATTTTGCATAAAAAACCCTATGCAAGGAATGAAAAATGTACTGTGTACACACAGCATATAAGCCCATTCTGACTGAGTAACACCACAGGAGAGTATGTTTATGCATCATACTTATTATAAAACCCAGGTTGTGTGTGTGTGTGTGTTCATTTATATATGGGATCGAATTTCCTACATTTTTCAACCAATTTCAACAAAACTTCACTTTTTTTTTTGGCAGGTAGTGTTTCTTATTGTCTTGCACACTTTTTTTCTTTTTTTTACATTCAGAATGCTTTAAAAATTCCATTTACAAGACAATTGTTTATAATAAAATTCTATTCAATCGGTAGACTCATAACGATTGAAAACAATTTTTTGTTTGAGTTTGACCAATTCATAAAAAAAAAAAAAAAAAAAAAAAACTAATTAAGACATGTGTCCGTCAACCTTAAACAATAATCTTTGTCAATTTTATTTTTCAGTCTTTATGATGGTCGATACTTGATCTATCTTACTGTTACATCCCCGGGCAACGCCGGGCTCTACTGCTAGTAACCAATAAAATCCCTTATGATTAGTTGTCAAGTTATTCAAGGTTGTGCAACTAATGGTATTCAAAATGGTTTGATACTTTCTGGATAAACTGGCGATTACATTCAACTTTTGCTGAATAAGACAGAGATTGGGGGAAAAAAAAAAAAAAAAAAAAATCAAACTTGAGATACCATCAGATATTATTTACAGATTAATTTCTTAATTTTTGTATTTTGAGTGTTATGCTCACCTTGTTCCCACAGAGTCTAATTCTGTACTCCCCAGCCCAGGAATTGAACTCACAATTACTATGCTACCAAATTCACAAAACAACACTTTAATTTATTATCCAATGGACTTGCAATAATTGAACAGTACTAAAAAGAATAAGAGGAGATATCCTTAAACTTGGACAGCAGAATGTAAATAATTTGCTCCTATAGATCGAATAAAATATTCAGTTTGAAATTCCCTGGAGGTTATCCAGACTGACAGACACTTGAAGAAAGGCAAAGGGCACAAAAGCCAAAATGTTGTGATAAAGATGAGAGCATGTCTGATTGTAAATGATATAAATAATTATAGTGGCTCATCCCAGAAATTCAGACAGAAATGAGAATGTAGATATTGAAGCTGAAAGTTGGTAGATTTCAATAGAGAATATAAATTTATTGATTTTTTTATATTAATGTAAATATTGACAGAAAAGAAAAAATCCAAATAAAAGCTGCAGTTGCCATTTGTTGTGCACATGTTACAAGTTTTGAAGCATTTTTTTTTAAATTAACTTTGTGGAATAAACATTTAAAAAAATTATTTATTGATGATATATCCCAGGCTGTTGAACACATAATAAAACAGCTTTTATTCATTCACTGTCTAAGAACAGCAAAGATGCATGAATTGAAACAATGAATTTGCATATCAGCTGGTTGCAATGTTCAATTCATAAGTGGCACCCTTGTCTTGACAGACAAGGTAAGTCAACTGTATTTTGTGTTATTGTCCTTTTTAGAGGAAGGAATTTAGCTTCCCCTAACAGATAAATACAGTATTATGATAATTTGCAATATACTTGAGTGACAGCATTTTCAAAGTGGCCAGCGACTACTTTTTTCAAAATGCATGCCTTGACAAGTAACACACAATTAAAAAATACACTTCTTATTCAATCTGATTTACTACAAGCATATTACAATGGTTAAATCCTTAGAGATATGATAGCTCAATTCTACTAGAACACACTACTTTAATTCCTGACCACTGACAATCCTTTGTTTTTAATGCATAATAATTGACTGCCAAAACAAACTTAAAAGAAGAAATATTCCAAAATCCAGTGCTGAAACAATTTCCCTGTTTTATTTATACTAAAATACTTAGAATGGCTCATGATCAAGCATAACAGACATTCATTGTCTGTTATATTTAACAATATTTTTATATATAATTTATTGCTTAAACGTTAGTTTTAATGGATACCCATATTTGAGTAGATGTTCTGTATTTATGATTTCCATCTGCCAGCGTGAATATTCAAGAATTCTTATTAGAAAAAATATGCACTCTCTTGCAGACGCATATTTTCCTAATAAGATTTTTCGAATATTAAGGCCAGCAGATGGAAATAAATAAATATACTGTTTAATAAATAAATAAAAATAGAGCATCTACTCAAATATCCATTAAAAATAACATTTAAGCAATAAATTAAAATATGTTGGATTAATAAATGAAAATCCATTCATATATATATATATATATATGAAAAAAACCAAATGGGTGAATATAGATAGATGCAAGCAAGTGATTTTATATATATATATATATATATATATATATATATATATATATATATATATATATATATATATTATTATATATAGTATAAGTAAAACAGTTCTCAATGTTAATAATAAGAGCTTTTTAATATATATTAAGAAATACATATTATATCTTATATTGATTACACAACCAACACTTGAAAATTATGTTATTTGAAACTCAGAGTTGTGCAATGAACAATCAATATATAGGTATATATATATATATATATATATATATATATATATATATATATATATATATAAAAAATAAGTTTAGTATTAAAATGAATGACAAATTATCTTGATAGAATTATTAAACAAACACATCAAAACTTTCATTTACTCCCATCATTACATATGACAAATACTACAAACAGAAATTAATTGGAAAATATTTAATTAGAGAAATGCTTGTCAAAGTAATGTGTAAATGGAATGGCAAATTATTTTATAGCAAAACCAGTAGCCAAGCATTTACTTATTAACATAGTTTGCAATGAATTTGTCAAGTCCCACATCATCAAATATGCTAATATATATCCTTATCAAATATATTGGTAACTTATTTTGGAGGATATCACATTTTATTATGTGAAATTAAATTGTTTTTTGTTTATAAATAAATATTTCATTAACACAATATCATATAGACCTGAATAAATTAATAATTACTTCATTAAAACAATATCCCATATACCTGAATAAATTAATAGATAATTACTTCATTAACACAATATTCCATAGATGTGAATAAATTCCATGCAAAGTGTTGGACCAAGCCTTTTAAAGTGAAATTGGGTAGACAGAACTATTTGGAATCTGTTGATGATTGTGCTAGCACAATGTTACAAGTCATTGTGACCAAGGGTCTGAGTGTAATACTTAACATCATGAAGATACATTTGAGGAGCATATAATGAAGAAGGAGGGCTTGGAAAATCTGATACTCACAGGACAGGTAGAGGGCAAGAGGGAAAACATTGCATAACATACTTAATGAGCTTGAGTAAATGGATGGCAGAACAGAGTTCAGGAGAAATAACAGAAAAACAAAGTTTATTAAGGGATAGGAAGTTGTGGCGAGCTGTGATTAACTACAACCTGAGGGGGCGTGGCACACAAAGAAAAAGATTGTTCTAGTTTCATTTGCCTTTTCTGGATATCTAATTTTAAGTTATTTCCCTTTAGTAACTAAATTCTCGAAGTTTTTTTTTCTGATGGGTTTTATGCTAGATTAGCACTCTCCACCAAAACTTTAACAAAAGTCTACTCAGCATAGGTATAATACTTGTTTTATCATTTTAATGAAGGGCAAATAATCTAAACTACAAGCTTGTTCTGTGGGCATTGAAGAAACGTAAATATGCCTTAGAAGGTATCTACAACAGCCACCCTAGTATTTTTCAAGGTTCCTCTACTGGTACCATATGACAACACAACTGCAAAATTCATTATTATTCTTTATTATTCATTCATCTGTGTCCCTTGCAATATAGGGGGGAGTGGAATAAGATTTATTGGTAGATTTTTGAAGATGTTTAATCATTTGTTCCTGCAATAAAACCAAAACCACTTATTTACACAATAAAATAAGCCTGTGGTGTAGTAAAAAAAAAAAAAAAAAAAAAAAAATACTGAATGATTTCCATGCTTATCAATTCATTTTGGGTCAGGCTGGAAATTAGGTTATAAAAATCTGTTTCT